TTAATCTAATTATTTTAATTCTGAAAAGTAATCTTAATATAAAATTTATAATATTCCCATAATAGCAAGAATAATAAATTTACATTACATTTTATGATTTATATTTTAATAAATCATATTATTTGAAGATTCAATTAAATTAGATATCAATAATCTAAAAATGAAATATTCACTTATAATCATTTTTTCTTAATAAATTCCAATTTTAATAGTATTTTTTGTATAATATTTAGTTCTTTTAGCAACAAATAATGGAGCTTTAATATTTTAACTTTTAAATAATGATAAAAATAATGAAGTTTAAAATAATTCTGGAATTTTATCTTTTTCTGTAAATTTTTCCATATTATTCAGTATTTAATTTGTTAATAACATCAATTAATTTTGTCTACATTAAATAGAATTTTCACTATTTGGATTTTTTGAATTTTCATTTGATTGTAATATAAATTATTTTGTAGAACATGATTTAATTAATGGATCTATAATATTACAAATCCATTATTTAATAATACCTTTACATAATAGTACATCTTAATTAGAAATTGTTTCAAGACATTTTGTATATTTCTATCTAATTTATTTCAATTATTATAATTTTAGAACTCTTTTTTACCTTATCATAAGATATATAATAATACCTATAGTTTCTACTCCATCTTATGTATGCTAAAATATATAAAAAAAGGACTTTTATGCGTGAAACATTCAGATGATATCTTTTTGTTCTATATGGAATTTAATATTCTCTTGGTGTTGATTTTATACGAAAATTAGGCAATTATAACTAAGAAGAATCCTCTTGATATTTTTAAAATTCTCTTGAATTTCTTGATTAAATTCTACTTGGTCTGTAACTTCTATTTGTATGATTATAAGAATAGGAATCTGAATAATTTTCATTTCTAGATTAAGACTAATAGTCATATGATTATGCTCTTTTTGAATCAAATCCATTTTATTATATTCCACTAACAGAAGGTAAAAATTCTTAAAACTCTTAATCGAGAAAAGTAAAATGCTTTGGTTTAATAACTGGAAGTTGATGAGAATTCTAACAAAATTTTAATAGTTTTGATATTTCTTTATGTTTTTGTCCAATTTCTCTACTCAAAAATTCATTTTGCTATTTTAAACTTAAGTTTTCTAATTCATACAATTTCATTTTTAATAGTTGATTTTAAGAATGCCTTATATGTTTTATATGTTTACTCGTTAGTTTATGAGAGATGACTATCTGTTAGTCCTTCTTTTCCATATTAGGTTAAATCTAATTAGATTGCCTTATTTTTTATTTTTAAAGCATAAGGTTAATGATAAAGATCATTTAATTTTGGACTAAACACTGCATTTTTATCAGTTACATGCAGATTGAACTATCCCGGTTACAATAATTAGAGCATTATTTTGATGATGTAATAAATAAATTAATAATAAATATAAGTAATTAAGTAATTTGCCTTAATTTTGTGAATCATATTAAATTGAGAAGATTCAAGATAATTTTAACTAAGATTTTAAATAAATTGATACCTATACCATTTATTGTTGGAACATATTATCATACTTTAATCGATCTTACAAACTTTAACAGTCATACATTTCCACTAATTTATTCTTTCAATTTATCCTACTCACTATTCCTTTACTAGAATTCAAACATTTATCTATTTAACCATCATAAAGTCATTACAATAATAAATCTAGAGCAGTTAAATTAAATTTCCTATCATAGGATAATCAATTTGATTAGATTTTCGTAGATTCTTTATAAGTATTGTTTATTAAAAAAATTTAAGCTGAAATATTATGAATGAAGAGTTAGAAGTATCTATATATTTTCTTCAATTATCATATCTTAATTTATTCAATAAGAAATTTTTTTTATTGCTCTATATAAAGGAATATAAATTTTGTATCTCTTGAATTATTCATATATTTATTTTTAATAATTTAAAATATTTTTTAGTATTATACATAAATTATTAATTAGGTCTGATACTTAAGTTTACAATTTGATTTTTGTAAGGTAAAATAAATCAAATTAATCATCAAAATGTTCTAATCAAGAAAATACTAATATCAACTTAAAATCTAAATTAAAAGTTCGAATTTATTTAGTTTTTTTATTAATATTTGTTATTTTATCTTTTGAGGCCAATAATTTTGTAAAAATCTAAAAAAGTAACTTAATTATTTAACTCTATAATTTTTCTAAAAAATAATATGATCAATTGACTTAAATTGTATTATTTTGTTTGCATATATGATATAAATTCAACTTTGGTAAGGTGAAAGAAGAAATCACAAAATTTATCCTCACTGATAATTAATATTTTTATTATCTATAATTCTTTAGATTAATTAATTAATTTTTCATTAAATTATTTTAATTTATATTCCAACTTTAATTTGTTAAACATAAACAAAGAAAATATGAAAAAATTTACATAATTGAATTATTTGTTTGTTTAATTTTTATCCTCAAAATTTCATTCAAATTTAATATAATTATAAAAATAGCATATAAATATATTTTAAATCAAATATTATTTTAAGATACTAGATTATTTACACTATTTCGAAAAAAGTTTTAGATATCTTCATACCATTTTTAATTTTCTTTTATTAGAACTTCATAAAATTCAAAAGTATTCAAACCAAATATAATTATCTCATTTTATTCAATATTCTCATCCTCAATAATCTTTAGCTCTTGATTTTTAGTTTTATTAATATTTAATCTTTTCTAAATGATTTTTAATACTTTAGGTTAAAATAATTACATTTCTTTAAAGTAATTCATATAAAGAATTTAGATTAAACTACAAATTGATACTAATTAAAATTTAGATTCAGCTAAATGATGTTCATTTATACATTGTAACTAATTTGAGTTTTTAATTATTTCTTCAATTATTAAATAATAGTATATGTAATCACAAATTATTAGTAATTATTCTTTTGAATTTAGTTTTGTCTTAATTCTTTTTGCTACATATAAACTACATTTCTTATTTATTTACATAATATGATATTAAGCATATTCCAAAATTTCTTGGTTTAAATTTTGAGCTTTGGTCATATTATCTAAATTCTAGAAAAACATTAAAGTTAAATTTATCATCCATTATTTACGATTTTGAATGAATTTTTTATCATTTGGGTTTTAGTTTTCTTTAAAATTTGAAGAAAATTTATTCTATTTGATTGTATTAATAACATTTTCCATTAATTTTTCATGCCATTTCATTTTAATATCTACATATTGTTATATATCGGAAGATTCTAATTTAGTTCTTAGATCTCTTAAATTTTAAATAGTTTTTATTTTTTTTTATCTCAATAATCTAATTAATCGAAATATAAAAATAAATATAAAGCCCCATAATTTAAAATTTTTTTAAGACCTTTAGTATTTATAAATCTCTTTTTTTCCATATTTATACGGTTATTCAAATCTGTTTTAAAAGAAATTTATATAATTTGGAATTTATTTATATTATTTCTTTTCCAATTAATAGTTAGAATTTTATGAATCAATATATATTTTAAAATCTAAGATCTAATTGCATTAATGCATATTCTTTTATAATTCAATAGGAATATCTTATTCCATAAAATAGGAAGGTGGTGAGTATTATGGATTTCTACAATTTATAGATATTGATCTTTGCTTATTACTGGATTAATCTTTATCTCCACTATAATTTAATTTGTCATCAATTGTAAGACATTAATTAAAAGGATGTTATTATTATTTGAATTTATTTTAAGGTTTTCTTTCTGTGATATCTAACAATATAGAATTTCTTTATCCTGCAAATAGATCCATTTCTTTTTTATGAACTCTTTATTATAGTAATAATTTATTTTTAATATCATCATCAATTTGATTCTATTATTACTATAATGATTTTCTTCTGTCTTATTCTTTTTAAACACTTCTTTTCATTAATTCATTTTCTATATATTTTGAAAGTTATGGTAATTGATTCTTTTATATATTTTTTATATTTTGATCAGGCTTAGACTCTTTCTTTGGATTTTTATTTGGTGGTAATAAAAATGAATGAATCATTTTGCTGTTTAATTTTATTTAATTTTTTATGGAACATATTATATAATTTAAGAAATTAAATAAAAAAATTAATCATTGTGATTCAATCGATATTATCACATATTTCAATTTAAGAATAAATATTCTGTATTGTTTTATCAAATAGCTTTCCCAATAATTTTGATAAAGTCTCTTTTTTCTTTAATAAATTCTTAACATGTTCTTCAGATTTTAATCCTACAATTATTATTTCTTATAAACATATATCGTTTGTGTCTATCAAAATTAATTCTTAATTTTTATCTCCAGATATATGAAGTTTTCTTTAATAAAGTTTTTTATCACTAACATCTTCTCTTGAAGGCATATTAACAAAATATTTAATAAAATAAACATGAATTATGCTAGCAAGTTCTATTATCTTTATTTTTTATTAAAGATTATGTTTAAGATGTTTATATTTTAATTTATTTACTTAATCAAACAATTAACTCAAAATAATGTTGAAATATATATATTCACTAGCAATAAGTTAATACTCTGATTTTGAATATGAGGAAATTTAAAATTTTAATCTTTTCGCAAGAAATAATGACATATAAGTATTCTAGGTTATTTAAGTTGCCTTAGATAATTCTTTAATAATTTCAATTGGAATATTTCCTTTTCTTGTAATTAATTCAATATTTTAAAATAAGAATTTGGCATAATTCAAACACCAAAGTTATTCTTAATCTTTAATTTTATCACTATCAATTAATTCATCATTAATATTATCTTCATAATTTTTTTCCATATAATAAAGTATTTTTTAAAAAGCTGGAGATGTCCATTCCTAAATTTTTTATATTAATTAATCATTTATTTTTCTATCCATTTTAAATGCAGTTTTTAAACTATTATAATGATCTATCTTTGCTTTTTGAGCTTAATAATCAACTGATATATGTTAAGCTAGTCTAAGATACAACAAAAGAAGTCTCCCTATGATTTTGGTTAGTATTCTGAATTTGTTAAGAATTTTTAATTTTTTTTTATTCTAACAAAATTATTTTGTAATTCTACCGATCTCTGTTTAATAATTAACTTTGAGAGGCATAATTTATTTTCTATTTGTATATCTTTAAGTTTATATAAGGAAATTTTCAGGGTTCTATTAAAAGTTATCTCGTAGATTATTTCTAATTATTGTAGAAGGATTAATAGTTGACCTATGTCTGATTTTTTCAAAATGAGCATAATTTTAATCTAAATAATCAATCAAGTACTACCTATTTTTCTACTTAATTTTAGGTCGTCTTAATCATATACCATGGTGTAATTAACATCAGCTTTAATTTTTGAATTTAGTTAAGAATCCGCAGTTTTTAGTTAATCAATATAAACATCTAAGTTTAATGGTATTTAACGAGATGGTTTAACTTGTCTTGGAATGATGGGAGAAACTTTCCGTTTTGGTATTTATTATTATCGAACAGCCACTGTATGATAGTAAAAGGAGTCTTTATAATTATTCAAAATGTAATCCTAATTGAGTGATAAAGATAATTTTTTGTGATTTTATCTCTACATGATTATTTTATAGTAATTTAAAAATAAGTATTTGAAATATAATCATAAATCTTAAATTTTATGTTAGTATATATTTTGAACTACTTTTTTGAACTATTTCACTAGATTGGAGAACAAACCTCGTCTTTCAAATATCAATTTTAATTAATCATATTTAAAGGTTCCTTTATAAAACTCTTCCATTTCTGTTTAAATTGGAACTAATATCATCCCATATTTGCTTCTACCAATTTGCATTTATTAATATTTAAATTAAGAATTTAGTGTTTATACTTATGGAATATCTGAAAAAGTCATTATGAATAATTATTGAAGTATAGTTATAAATCCACGAATTAAAAATTAGATATTTTGATCATCTGCATTGAAAAACTTTTTATTTTCGGTTAATAAGACTAAATTTGGAATAAAATTATTCATAATTACACACTCTGTTGCAATCATAGCCTTTTCAATAGGAGTTATTTTAGAATATTTGTTTTATAGATAATTAGTTCTTTTAGTCACAAAAATATTATATGTTTATCTATATTCAACAAATTATTCTAAATAAGATTGATATCCAAGTTCTGGTAAAAAAGAGTTTGGTTATGTTGTAATTTCAAGATTAGTAATTAGATGAGAACATAAATTTAAAAAATTTGTAATAGCCATATCTTTTTAGAAACCTTCAATATTCCCTTCCTAAAGTCTTAATATATTAATATTACTATAAAATTCCATTATTTTAGTGTTTAAAATCTTAAAACAGATAGAACTTTAGTTAAGGATATTTGAGTCCATTATTTTATTTTGTTTTAGACTAATTTATCCTTAAATTTAAACAATTTAATTAACTAACAAAATAGTTACTAATTTTAAATCCATTTTTATTTTAATGGTCTAAATTATTATAATTAAAATTAATTACCTAATTAATATCTACATTCTAAATATCGCTCTAACAATAATAATACAAATTTTAATTTTATTGTATTAAAATTATACTTTTGTTTTAACATTCAATGTTGTTTACGTTATCATTGGATTTGAAATATGTGATACATCTTCATCTTCATCTTATAAAATATCTTTTTCCTTTAAAATATTATTTTTTTCATTTTTTAAAATACTTTCATCAATATCATTTGAATCTTCTTTTTCATTTGTTATATCTAAATTGCTTTTAAAATTTTTATTAATCTAAAAAGAATATTATCTTTTTCTAGGTGAATGATTCAAATAAAATTAATTCTATGTATATGTGGATTATCGTAAAATTTATTTTTTTTCAATATTTTATTCAAATGATTATTCATGAAGAAAATTATGATAAAATCCTAAATTTTCATCACTAAGACCATAAAGTTGTGTAGAATGTTAGAAATTGACTTAGTTATTATCTATTTAGGGTAATAGTAATTTCGTCATCTAAGACTCATTAAGTGCTTTTTATTAAAGTTCAGGAGTATGATTGTCTGAATTCATTCTTCTCGTTAATTAAACTGAAAGATTCAATGCGTTAGATTGGTTAGGTAGAATAAAGGATGGCAAATTAAAATAATCAGGTTCATTTTAATTTATTTATTTTTATCCAATCTAATCTCCCTTAACTAAGCCTCTTTCTGCTGCACTTTAGAAATCAAATCTCGATCCTATATGTTTATGGGAGTTTTACTTTTCATCAATAAATGCTCTAGAGATTTTAATAAATAAAAATATATTATGAAAAGTTAATTGATATGATCTGTTGCTAATTTCATTGTTTAGAATTAAAAAAAATAAAAAATTACTTCATTTAAATATTGATGATTTTATCTTAAATATATACTTTACTCAATTATATTATTTTGATATTAACTCATATTACTAATATGTAAAAACTTAGTAATGAGTATAATCCAAATGAATTTGTGATAGAGGCTTAGAGTTCAAAAGCACCAAGTTCTTAGGAATTCGAATTTGAAACACAATCTTTCACTAGCAAAGAAGATCTTATAAATAATTAGAACTTTAAACCATTTTTATAGGAAAGAGATTCAACAGGAAAATTAGTTGGAAAAGATAAGAAGTTACATTTTCTTAAAGGTTAACAAATTGTATTATACACATCAGGGTCAAAAAGACTCTAAGTAAAATAAAATAAAATTTATTGTTATTAGTTTTCAACAACATCAATTTTAGGTCTCAATTCTAGAGCTGTAACAGCAGATGATAGGAGAATGGCAAAGCGAGAACCATTAAAGAATTTCAAATTAAACTTGTAAGCAGATTAAGGCTTCATCAAATAATTTCGAGAAATCACAAAACACATTAAACCATCATCCTAAATGAATAGCGGATTTTTAGGACCTCATAGAGATTATTATTATAAAACAGTATTTAGAAAATTCAATTAAACAAGACAAAAACTCCAGGTCCTGGTGTATATTAATCTCTTTATATTACAGCTACAAATCCAATTGAATTTCCAAAGAGTCCACAAATAAGTAAGCCTGCATAGCCAGTTTGTAGTAAGGACTTTTATGATTTTAATATGGTTCAGAAGAATATCTCTGGACCTTCATTTGTAAAAACTTAAAGCAGAGATAGTGCATATTAAAGAGGAATTTTCGCATAAATTGAAATAGAAAAAAGATAAACTTTGAAATAAAAACCAGAAGAATATGATGAATAAAGGATTGATAGAGAAATAGATTATTTACTATAGCAATAATAAAAATATGGAAAATTATGTAAAAAATATAAGAATACAATTAGCATAACCTAATTTAGCTTGGCCAGTTCCATTATAAAAAATAGAATTGCCGGAGAAAGTACATGGATAATGGACTAAAATGCTGTATTAATGAATATATATATATCAAACTAGAGAACGCTATGGATTTAAGAAGTAAACAGGTGGAAGATTAATAAAGAATACAAGTGCTTTATGATTATATTATGTCGAAACAGTATTTATTAATATTTATATATGACTGATAGAAAAGCTTGGAATTAAAAAGTATTATGATTATCAATAAATAAATGAATAGGAAGATCTAGCAATTCTTCATTTAGTTAAGTAATATGGGATAAAGAAATGGACAACTGTGGCTGAAAAAATGAAAGAAATATATGGCTTATTTGGTCGATCTGGTAAATAATGTAGGGAAAGATATCATAATCATTTGGATCCAACAATAAATAAAGATCCTTGGAGTGAAAATGAAGAGAAGATAATATTTTTGGCACATAGAGAACATGGAAATAAATGGGTAATAATTGCAGATTTAAAGATTTTAAGGCAGAGATTGCAAAATTACTTCCAGGTCGAACAGATAATGCAATAAAAAATCATTTTTATTCAACTTTAAGAAGAAGTTTAAGACGCATAAATAAAATGATTGGTGATAAAAACAGTAATCTGCGTAAATAAATATTTAGCAAAGAAAAGTGTACCCAATAGATCAAGGACATAAAGCCAGGTGTTTTGTCCAAGATCTTCATACTAGCTGAAAAAAATCCATCTGAACTTAAAGATGATCATATGAAGAAATTATGTTAAGCTTGTAAAGGATTATAAGATTCAATACTTGAATTTGCATAATCTAAATAAAAATCATTAATAATCTAATTTAATGAGGAAAAATTCAAATAATTGATAGAGAAAATTATGGACTTTAAGTATTACTCTAAAACACTATAATAAGCGGACTTTATACTAGATAAAGGGAAAATAAATTAAAATCAAGAAAATTAAATTTGAAGAAAAGAAAAAATATTATAGAAGATGATGATGAAGAGGATGATTCATATTCTAGTTTTTATAAAATAGATGATAATAGTATTTAAATTCCAATAAAGAGATCAATTAGATAAAGTTCAAGGAAAAAAATTGTAATAATTTCTAATATAATGAATATAGAAATTCAATGATGAAGATGATCTTGATATAATTATAAGGACTAAATAAGGTCCAGTCTTTAAAATAATTTATGATAGATTTTAATTTTAAACAGATGAAAATGTATTTATTCTATTTATATAAAGGAATCTTCCTAAAATTATTATTAAGAATCTTTAAATTCAAATTAAAGTGAATAGAAATAAATTTCATATTAAATAAATCCTTCAAAGTAAATTTCTTAAAAATCAATTTCAAAAGATAATTAAAATGAAACAAATCTTAAAAATAATATAATTAATAATTCTAATTTCAAACCTATCATTTTGATAAAACCTGTAATTAATAATTAAGAATTTGATTAATATTTAGAAAAACTAAAATAAGGCATAAGTATAAATTATTTATTATAATTAGATGCAAATTCTTAAAAATATCTTTAAGGTGAAGATCTTAATTTAGATATTAATATTGATTTTGCAGAAGCATCTAAAGATTTTACTAAATCTTCAAGCTCTAAATTTGAGTACACTTAAAATGCATTTAAAAAATACAAGAAAGATTCAGATTTAGATAATTTCTTAGTAACACCTAATAATAATAAATGAAACATTTAATCATGAAATTTCAAAATTATTTCCATGTATTCTAAAAAAAATCTACCAATATTAATATTTATACATTAAAGTTCATTTTATTAAGATTAATTTCTAATTGTCAATGGATTTTGGATAAAAGGAGATCTAAGAAAATTATTCGCAATCTGATCTAAATTTATTCTCATTGATGATTAATAGCAATTTTAATTAACTTACTAAGATTATAGTTATCTATTTTATTATTCCAATTTTGTACTGAGTTGATTACTTTTATTTTTCAAATTTAACGATTAAAAATTGAAATCTTAATCTTAAACCGATATAGCTTTTTTTGTCTTATTATTAAACTATTCTTTTTTCTTCTAAATAGGTGAATATTATGATTAGATTAATGGACTTTTTGAAATTCTTAATTATTTATCCTCTGAAAAATTACAATTTCCCATTCTAGGAGTAATTGATTATTAAATATTGATTACTTTTTCTTTTAAAGTAGCCATTTCTTTCTTTAGCTTTTGTTATTTACAAGAGCCTAAATGTTAAATTTAAAAATACTTGCAATAAGTTTAATCGTTTCAATTGATATATCCTATGTTTTACTTTTCATAGCTGATATTCCAATTATCACTAAGTATTTGATTAACTTTTATGTAAGTTTAAGATCATACTCTTAGATAAATGAGCTTAATTCTTTAATATTCATTGTTAATTTATATACTTCTAACAATTAATGAAACCAAATTTTATGAATATCTCAATCTTTAACTTAGAATTTAATAATTATTATAATCTTAAACCTAAAGGTGAGTTAATTTGAGATCCTTAAATCAATGTCCTAATATATTGGATAATATACTAAAATCATATCATAATAATTGAAATATTATTAGACCTAAATAGACAAAAGATCTACATATAGTGTTTTCTTTTTGAAAGACTAATATTTCATTAATTATTGAAACAATTTAAGAAAGATAATATAAAAAATATTAGAATAAGGAAAATGTTTAATAATTGTTAATTGATTTTTATGAAATACATGTTTTCATATTTATAATATTCATTTAAATTGATTGATACAAAAGGCCTTAATGACTTGTTCATCTTTAAACAATATATATTCATGTACAAATTCATCTTTTTATATGAAACTTATTTCTTAACTCTTCCATAATTCATAACTTTATATTAATGATGGTTCTTAATCAATGTTAATCTTAAACACATTCACAAATAATTAGTTTTAATTATCTTCACATTAATAAATTGTACTAATCCATATGTAATAATTTTCTTTCTATTTTGATAAGTTGATTGATTATTTCTTTGTTGTTTAGACATCAAATTATCCATTTATTAATTCTTAACACTTGAAAGTACTAAAGTAATCTATTTCATGTTCCTTATTACAAAATTTATAGAATTTGTCCATTCGATCTTTCATAACTAAAACATATTGATCTTAAATTTCTAATATAAATTTTAATTTATATTCTGATGGCATCTATATATTAATTGAGAATAAATCCCCTGAACCATCAAATAAATAGAATTCTTCATCTGCTATAATCAAAATATGATTAGTATTGTAAATCTTTAGTGTTTAAATTTACTATCCTTTTTTAAATTTCTTTCCAGTATGATATCCATCGGGGTAATTTAACAATTCTAAAACTATTGAATTTTCTAATTTATAAAGTTCAATCAAAGTCACTCTATCTTTAAAGGAATAAACATTATAATTAGACTCACATTCTATTTAATATCTAATTATTATTATTATACTATTTATAAGGTAAACTTGGAATTAAATGAATATTTGTATGCTCTTTAGGATTGAATTGTACTAAACATCTATTACCCTAACGAGAAATTAAAGCTAGAATGTGATTTTCATTTGCAATAATATTTGATAATACTGCCAATCCTTATCCAATTTAATAAGGTTTCTCAGAAATACATTCTCCATTCTTTATTTCAAAATAAAGAAGCTTTTAATTACTCATAGCTAATGAAACAGATCCTTAGATAAATAAAATAAATACTTAATTTTTATTCAACTTATTATTCACCAAAGACAACATATCCATCTTTCATTTAAATGATTTGCTTAATTGAATTAAATGAAGTTAAATCTAATTGAAATCCTATATATTAATCCATTATTTTAAATAATAAAATAAAATTGAATAATGATAATAATTATTTGAACTCAAAAATATTTTACTCTTTATTATATTAAAAATAATAGTGTAATATTAAAAAGATAGATTTAGATAATAATATTTAATAAGTTTTGAATTAATAAAATAAAAGAATTATTATTGAAATAATTTAAATTTCAATATTAATTTATAAGTAAATATTTGAAAATCATCTTTATTGTTTTTATAAAGATTACTTATTATAATGAATAATAGTTGAACTTAAAAGAGAGGGTTTTTCAAATATTCAATTTATAATAATGATTCAATATTTATTTGTATAATATGTATGATTAATATGATTATTATTTTAGAGGGAAATAGTTATGATTTTAAAAAATTAAAGCTTTTATTATTTTATTAATAGAAAAGGAAATTAAATGTAGTAATAATTTATTTAAATAGTGAGTATGATTTCATTATAAAATTATGTAATATTTCTTTCTATTTTTTAGTTAGAAAATCTTAGTATAATAAATTTATGATAAATATTCATTATTTTTTTTACAATATTATAATAAATGAATAATGATAATACAAACAACAATGAAAATTTAAATGGATTAGATCTTCAACTTAGCATATTTGGAATATAGTTTTATGCATTAGGATTTGATTAATATTTTTATATAGATGTTCCAGGATTAAATAGAGTAGATTATTTAGATGAAGAAGATGATATCATAGGAGAGTGGAGATAATCTCATAGAAGAGAAAGACATTCACCTAGGTAATATATTGAAAGAAATGTAGGGAAAAATATTAAAATCTTTAAAAATATCTTTAAAAGTGTACAGAGCCTATTTAAAATGATCATTTGGATTAACAATAACCATACATCAAAGTTACTTCCTAAAGAAATATGAGTGTTAATAATTAATATTTTATTAACGAATTTGGGTAATTATAATAAGGATTTTTATAGACTGATTGGCTCTCTAAAAAATACAAACTCAAAGGATATTCTAATAGGAAGATCTCATAGAAACTAAAATCAAGATCTTATTCCGAATGATATAAGTAGAATTGAAATAACATTTTGATTAGTATTACCAGAAGATCGTGTAATTTCAAGAATTCATTGTAAAATAGTTTGCAAAGATTACTTTAGAAAAGATTAAATTCTATAAAGAAAATATCAATTGGTTCTAAAATATATTAATTTACCAACCTTGGTCAAACATAAAATAAGTTAATTTTTAGAGTATTTTTATTTTAAATTATATATTAGAGAACCAAAGAATGTATATGTATAAGATTTAGGTAGTATATGTGGAACTTATCTGAGAGTATTCAGATAAGAACCATATGTTTTATCTTATGATAATAAATTTAGTATAGGCAGTGATACTTATTTTAGCATTGTATTAAATGAAAATTATAAATTAAATTCAAAGGATATTGATTAAGAATTTTATAGAACATTAAAAAGTTTATCTTGTTTGAAATTATCTTAAAAACATGAAATTCATTTTGGAGATAAATCTAAATAATAAGAATTTTAATAATTAGAAGAGGAAGTAACTAATATAGGATTTAAAGAACTTTATAATAAGTTAAAAGAATATAAAGTTCCAATTTTAGCAATTAAATTTTCTGGTTAAGGAGTTGAATCTAATAAATAACATAATATTCTTATTGGAAGATCTAATTTAGATACAGAAGAATTCTGTATAGGAAGAGGAGCTGATAATACAATAAAGATCAATTCAAATACTATTTCTAGAAAATAATGCAGAATTAAATATTCAGCTTTGTAAAAAAAGGTTTCTATATAATATTGTTAGATATCAATCTTGGGTGATTTCAGATGGATTTTAAGATAGAGATTCAGCCAATGGTACTTGGGTCAGTCTTTCAACAGTTGAATAATCAGAAAAGAAAAAGGAATCAAATTAAATTTTATTGAAAAATAATTCAGAAATAAAAATAGGAGATTTCATATTAAAAGTTGAATTAGTTAAAGGATAGAAGACTAAGTTTGGACAATATATTAAAGAAATGATGTCTCTTTGATTGATATTTTTTATTAATTAAATAAAAAGTGACGCTATTTTTGTGATTCTTAAAATGATATCTTTTTTAATCTCTAAATAAATTTATTTATCATAATAATGAGCAACGTACCCAATTCACATCATCCACCTTAAGCTCCATAATAAGGTGCACCATACTAACCAACTTAATTCTAACCTGGATTTGCTCCTTAATATGCTCCAGCTCCTATGACTTATGGTCCACCTCTCACTTCATCACCATTGAGATATTCTCAACCTCTTTATTAACCATCTGTTGTAGCATAGCCAGTATATGCCCCATAAGTTGTCTAACAACCTGTCTATGCTCCTCCTGTTGTTTAACAACCAGTCTATACTCAACCAGTTGTTTAACAACCAGTCTATACTCAACAAGTTGTTTAACAACCAGTCGTAACATAATCTGTTGTTGCTCAACCAGTTGTTGCATAACCAGTTGTTGCAGCATAACCAATCAAAGGAGAAAGTAGAATTGAATATGTCCCATACGAAAAGACTGTTTTAGAATATGAGGAAGTAAGATAAAAAATTCAAGTTCCAAAAGAAAGATATGTGACTGATTATTATGCAGTGGAATACTAAACAGAATATGTTCCATAAGTATTCTAAGAAAAATATACAGGTATTAATAAATATATCTATATTAGAATACGTCCCAGTTGATAGATATTAAGAAAGAGTTGAATATTATCCAGTCGAAAGATAAGTTGTTCATTAACAAGTCTAATAAGTCTAATAAGTTGTAGCTTAGCCAGTAGTTTAACAACCCGTCTAAGTTGTTTAACAACCAGTCTAAGTTGTTTAATAACCAGTCTAAGTTGTTTAACAACCTGTCTAAGTTGTTTAATAACCAGTCGTTTAATAACCATTGGTTCAATCAATCCCAGTCTAAACTGTTCGTCCACCTGTTTATGCTCCCGGATCATTACCTTTAGCTTAAACTGTTTCACCAAGATTACCTCCTTAAGCTTAAGTAATATAATATTTTTATAATTTTAGACCAAACCATAAACCCAATAACCATAACCATAACAAAAACAACCATAACAATAATAACAATAGAAACCAAAGAGCTTTTTGGATAGACTATTCGACAGAGATTGATATAAAATATTTTATTAAGATACATATATCAAATCAAATTTTGTGTTGTTTTTAATCTCTATTATACAAAAATTTATTCATTTATAATCATTATATTTAATATTTTCTGTAATGAATAAGTAATTTTCTGCTTAAAATAATCAAGAACTCTAATAATAGCAATAATTAACAACAAATTAGCCACATATTCCTTAAGAAAATAATATCAAATATTGCCCTGTCTTCTTTATATAACCAAATACGTAATATAAAAGAAAATAAAATTAGTTTCCTTATGCCAAACATTTAATAGTAACATACAAATGATTATTATAAATCTTAGTTTGTTTATCATCCAATTATGCCAGATGACCCATTTTTTTCTTATCTATCACATATTTCTAATAAAGTACAAAAACCATCATAATATTATTCTCAAATCCCTATCAAAATTGAAAATGATCAAGAAATAGAACAACCATAAATCTAAAATTAAACTAGTTAAATTAGCTTAAACAAAATATTACAATAATAACAACCAAAAAAATAGATAAAAATAAAAAAAGAAAACAATTTCTAAAAAGCTACAGATATATAACCATGTAATTGTTCTTAAAGTAGTTGTCTTAAAAGATATTGTTCATGTTTTCATAGTGGTAGAATGTGCTTGGATGAATGTTAATGTAAGAATTGCAAAAATTGTGAATTATTTTCAAAAGACAGAAAAGCAGCAATTAATCATATTTTTTAAAAATGTCATAGAGATAAAAATGTTCCTGCAAATGAATTATTATCTTTATAAATTAGTTATGGATGTAAATGTAAATCTACTGGGTGTTAAAAAAAATATTGTGAATGTTACAAAAGAGGACAAGTCTGTGGAGATTAATGTTCTTGTGAAGATTGTCTAAATATTCCATTTCAAATAACTTATTAAGATAAATAGAGAAAGAAAATCAATATCTAAAAATGATTCATATTTATTTAAATTTCCAAATATATTTACTTTTTATATACTCATTAAAATTATATAATATATATTCTTAATAATATATATTATATAATTTTTAGATAATATATGTTAATGCAATATCATTGAAATATTTCATAAATTTAATCAATAAACAATAAATTCTATTCTAAAAATCATGAAACCTTATCTAACTCAAAGCCAATAATATTTAAGAATAATAAATAATGATTTCTCTCGATAATCTTAATATGATGGTAATATAATATACTATTTAGTTTAAATAACTATAAATTCAAGAAGATCTTCAATATCTATAAATACTGTTAAAACAGTAAATTTAAGAATAGATGATTAAGCAAAAAAAAATGTTAAAGATGTTGTCTTCTAATAGAAAAAATAAATATAGGAATCAATAGATCCAAAAAATTATTTAAAGACTGAACATACTGATAAAAATTTTCATGCAAAAGATTAATAGTGTGAAAATCTTATTTAAAAAAATTCATATTGTCCTAATTCTATCAAAAAATAATTATTAGCTAATTAATTAAAATTACTTAAACCAAATGTCTCACCGATTAAGAAAACTGAAGATTTAAAGAATTAAATTATGAATGTAAGTGATAATTTATAAACACCTACTGAGAGAGGAAAATTTTTAAAAACCTAGTTATCTAGTATAAATAAATAAGAGCCAAAATAAGAATTAGAGAAAAAATTGAATGAAGGAGATTGTTTTCAAATAAAAATTAAATAAGATGTAACAAAATCCTAGAATGCTTTTAAGTTAGAAAAAGAATAAAAATAAAAATGTTAAGAAGAATTATCTAAATGCTAGTAAGATTTATAAAATGAAAAAGAATAACAATAAAAAATTTAAGAAGAATTATCTAAATGCTAGTAAGATTTATAAAAAGAAAAAGAATAAAGAATAAAAATGCAGGAAGAAAATAAAAAGCTTAATGATATTGTTTTATAAAAATAGATTGAGATAGATTAATTAATGAGTAAAAATAATACATTTATACAACTAATTAAAACAATAGATGAAAATATCTCTTAAATATATTAAAAAGAAGTTAAAATTTTAGTAAAAAATATATAATTTACCTGAAAATTATAAACAAGTAAAAATAATTTTGATTATGTATATTTTAATATTATTAAATTTAAAATATTCTTTAAAGAAATATGAAACTGATTTAATAATCAATTAGAATGTATATTCATTCATATTGTTATCAGTCATTTTAATATAAAAAAATCTAATTCAATTATAGTCATATATTGTCTTAATTTTAATTATCCTTTTCATTTTTTTATAAAAGTTTATCATTTTCTTTTTATAATTTTTCTAATTAATCTTTAAGCTATTGATTTTATTCTAAGATATTTCCTAATTCATGTAATTTATCTTCTTATTTTTTTATAATCTCTTTTAAATTTAAATTTTCCTAGTTCAATCTTTTAATTTCTTCTTATTATTCATATCCTGTTTTGAATAAAATTTTTGAAGGACTTTCAGAAGGCTTTAAATGATTACTAGTATTAGGGTGATAATAGTTATTAACAGTTTAAAATTATCTTTATTTTTCAGAGACAATTTATGGAATTTAAAGTTAGAATTCTCTTTTTTTTTTGTGTACAAATTCAGTTTAAGGTGTACTTGTTTTATTAAATCCAGTTGATAATTGTGAAATATGTCTTTTCTAAGTTGGAGTTAATAAATTAGAAGTCAACTTATAATTTTAAGGTGATAGTAAAGGACTTTATGATCTCATTATAATTAATTCTAAATAAAATTTATTTTAATTTAACACATCAAATATATTCCAAAAGCTTTTTAATTAAATAATTATTTTATAGAAATATAGTATTTAAGTATGAGTATATTTTATATATATTGATGTTTACAAAAATAATTAGGATTATTCATTCTGTTATTATTTCTACTTTTGCTCCTTATGTTTTAACAATACAGCAAAAATATAATTCTCTATTATCATTTTGTAAAACTACCGAGTATCCTTCATTAGGTTTCTAATTATTTGATAATTATTTACTAAAACTTTTTTCCAAATGACTCTTTTAAGAGAGGGTTCATAGGTAACTTCTATAACTTCATTCTCAAAAAATCTAAAACCTTTAGTTTTCCAATTTAATTCTTCTTATTCTGTATTAATTACATCTTTTTATAATGTTTAATTTTACATGAATCTTAAAAGCAAACAAAAGCTCCATTATTTAATGCATTTAAAAAAGGTCTAAAATCTTTAGATATTAAGATTTATTTATCACAAATTCCAACTCCAATATCTCCTACAAATTTTGGGAATTTAAATTATATAGAACTAGTCTCTATTTAATTCAATCTTTATTCAACAAGTGCAAAACAATAATGAGTTTAAGTTTGAGTTTATTCAATAATACGTTCTTCATTAATTTTTATACTTGGAAATTTTGCATTATTATCAAATCTATATTTTAAACTTGAATATCTTGGAATAATTTAAAGATCAATTTATAAAAGTTCTTTAATTTATTATTCCCATAATGTAAATGTTTTTTTAATTCTTGTTACTAATTGATCATTATACTTTGGAATTTACTCTTCATTTTATTAAGCATTTGCTTTATTCCAAATTGAAACTAATTCTTAAGTTTCATCATCAATATATTAAGAGTTATCATTATCAATTTTATTATCATAAATTTAATCAATTTGATTTGGTTAAGATTGCTCAAATTGTTCAAAAATAATTGTTTCAATTTAACATTCAAGTTTTCCAAGTTAAATAATAACATTTTATTTAAATTCAGAAAATGCTTATCTAACTTCTTATGTTTTTTCATAAACCTCAAAACAATCCTTATTTGCAAACATTTAAATAATAAATAATAAGTATATGATTTTTTTTTTATTTTAATAAATAATAAGTTAAATATAATGTGATAAAAACTGATATTTAAATTATATTTATAATAAGTATAAAAATTAAATGATGTTTAAAGGATTATGGTGATTTTTAATTTAGTCATTACATAAATCAATATATATGGAATATAAAAATAATACTCAAATTGTATAAAAGTATATAATTATTAGAAAAACAATCAAAAAATTAATATAAATTTGCTTAAATTGATATATGTAATTTATTACTTAATTATATCATATCTTATTTTGGTTGTAAATTGTTTGTATTATATATTTTATCAATTAATATTTCTAAAGTAGAAATTTCTTATATAAAATAATTTAATGGATTAAAAAAAAATTGAGACTCTTATTAATGAGGCATTATAAAATCCAGATCCTGATATACAATATATGAGAGCAGAAGAAATCACTAATGAATTGACAATTTATTATGGAAAACCAGAATAGAATGAAAAGAATCAAAAAATTATTAATGAATGTTATAAAGTATTTTATTAGCATTTATCATCTCAATATAGAGAGATTTAAGGTAATATTATAAATATTTTAATTTAGGAAATGCAATTAGATAATTTTAAAGATTATCTCCATTAATGAGATCTTAAGAAGTTTAATATATTACAAAGGAATTATTGAAGTCTTCAACCTAAAGTATGAATGATACAAGAGAGAATTATCATATTTGTCTTTTAGAAATAGTTGAAAAGATTCCTAGTATAGTCTAATGTTTAAATGAAATTTAAGAAGAAATTATTAAAAGTAAATTACATATTAAGAATAATTAGAATTGAGAGAATTAAAAGAAGCAATTAAGAAATTATAGGTTTCTAATTAAATAGTCCATTAAGAGATTTAATAAAATATTGAAATATAGGCTGAACTTTTAAAGATTTTAAGTTTAATAATGTCAAGATGGCCTAAATTATATTAGAAAGACTTTAGTGATTTATTATTAGATAATATAATAAATTCAAATGAATTATCAATAAGAAAAAATTCATGTGTGTGTTTAGGATATTTAGGATTATCCCTTAGTTAATAAAGTCTTAATGATTTAATTTAATAAAGTATAATAAGATAAAAATAAATATAGGAATATTACCACTTGTTAAAGAATTAAAATTTGATTAATAGAGTTTTGCAAAATAATTGTATTTAAATTAAAGTTTAAATCATTTGGCTAAGAATTCTGGAAAATATTTTGATAAAGTTTTAGTTGAATAAATATTTGAGAGATATTTTTAGATATAGAATGAATAAAATAAAATAGATTTAGATAATGTTAATTAATATGCTGAGATATTAGAAATTTAATTACTTACATTAAATTATTTAATTTAAAATAATTATGCTCGTGCATTTGATTTTTAATTGATTGAATAAATTACACCTTTAATTGATTTTGATCCATTAGGAGTAGCAACTGTTGAAGAAAATCCATATGATGATGATTATTATTTTGATGAAAGTAGATTTGTATAATAAATTCATTAGCAACTGATTCAACTTGGAGAGTAAGAAGATGTACATTATATACATTCTAAGAGTTATTAAAGATTCAACCATAATTATATAAATTAATATTATCAGCTCTATTTGGTCCAAATCAAATTATTATGAAAAGAATGAATGAAAAAAATGCAGAAATCAAATTATCTATTGTTTAATTTTTAATTAATTTAGTATAAGCATCAGCAATAATAAATGAAGATCTAAATTCTACTGATGAAATTTAATAATTAACATTAATAAAGTAAAGATCAATTCCACCTTCTATTTCATTAATTGAATTGGTAGAATAACTTTTAGAAAAAATCTAATTAATTTTTAATGATTCTTAAGAATAATAATCTTTAAAATCAGAATCAACTAAATTATTATTAGCTATTGGATAATATTTTAACTCTTATATATAAACATCACATTCATGTTACTTAAAAATAGTTGAAATTATTCATTAATCAATTATTGGTTCTTCTATTAATTATTCTAATGAATAAAAAGTATTTATATAATTATTAAATTAGCTTGCCTCTATTTTAACTATGAAATCTATACTTAAGATTACAGAACCAGTTTCATTTTAAGTACCAATTTTATAGTAAATGGTTTAAATACTAATTGAAGCAGTAAATTAAAAATATATCAGAATTCAAGTTGAAGGATATAATACTATGGATATATTAATTGGTGTATTAAAATAGAATTATTAAGAATAATTATTTTAAGAATCATTGATAAAAATTAAATAAATTTTAATTATTAAAATATAGATTGATACTTTAGATTAAGAAGTTAAATAAAGTTTATTATCACTTGCTACTGGATTATTTAAACATTTTGAATCACTATTTACAAAAACAGAAATTGAATAATTAGCTCAAACAGCTTAACTTAGATTATAGATTGAATCCTTAACAATTCATATTATGTTACTAGTACAATATTTCAAAAATCTCAATGATCCTAAACCATTAATTTCAAATATAGCTAATCAACTATAGAAAAATGACAAAGCTTAAATATTTATAGCATTAATTCATTTAATATAGAATAATAAAGTTGATTAAAATCTTGCTATTGATATATTAAGTAAATTCAAATAAATTACAACAGAAAATTATGATTTATAAATTTAAACACTATAAACATTAATAAAAGTTACTGGTATTAAATTACCTGAATAACTTGTAAGAGAGACTGTTAAAATTGGTTTGTAACAAACAAAAATAAAACCTGAAATTGAAGACTTTTTTAATTTGGTTAATGAATAAAAAATAATTGAATAAGAAATTACTAAATAATTAGGAAAAGAAGAATTATATCCTGCTGGATAAATTTATTGTTCAATATTAAAAAATATCCCTGGTTCATTAAGTTCTTTATATTCTTCAATATCAACTAATAGATAATTAAAATTATCAACTTTAAGATTTTTACATAAATTTCAAAAAGATTAATAATCTATTAATATTTTATGTTAATTAATTAAAGATAATCAAGATTCTGATTTAGCTGCATTTGTAATTGGCTCAGCTGTTTGTGATTTTTAATAAATAAAAAAGTTGATTGATTAATATCCTAATTAATATTAATTTTATCAAGCATTAAAGGAATTTACAGAAATAAATTTAATAAATAATCCAATAGAAATTGCTCAATATATTTTGAATTAGGTTAATGGAAAAGATAAGATTATTTCAACAATATGTGGTGATATATTAGGTGGTTTATTTAAATAAAATTATAAATCACTTGAATAACTTTTATTTGATAGTATTAAAAGTGGATCTTAAACTGTTAAATATTCTTGTATTTAAAGTTTGAAATATACACATTAATGGACCAATAAAGCCTAAATCTTATTAGAAATGCTTTAAAATGAAAAAGATATTCAAATTCTTACAGGAATTATTAAAGCACTTACATAAAATATATAATATATTAAATTAAATAATTTAACTTAATATTTAACTTTTTGTTTAAGAAGATATGAAGAAAAAGAATTAAATTTTGGTAATTTTGTTGAAAAAAGAGATGATGCTAAAGATTTAAGATCATTATCATTTGATTTATTAGAATCATTCTTAGATTTATAAAATCTAGAATTGAAATCAATCTTAATAGAAGTATTTGAAAAATTTGGTAATTATTATCTTAATTATACAATAGCTGAAGATAAATATGAAGAAACTAGAATACCTAGATTAAGAATTATTGAAAAAATCATTAAAAGAAATCCTCTTGAATTAACACCATTTTAAGATATCTTATTAAAAACATTTGAACCTATTCTTAAAACATTATAATAATAAATATAAAAATAAGATCAAGTAAAATATAAATTAATTATTAGAATTTTGATAAAGAAAAAGAAAAAATTAAATTAATAATCTAAATTCTATAAGGATTAAGATAAAATTCAAAAGAAGTTGATACATTATGCATGAAATATCTAACAGAATAAGTCTTAAAGACTATATGGTAATGAGAATCAAAAAATGTTATTTTAATACAAAACCAGTGTAATATAATTATTAGTAATACTTTCTATCATTAATCATCCCATGCTATCCGTTTACCTTTACACCATAGTCCATATTTTCCTTTCTTATTCATATAAAAACATCCTTTACCATGTTACTTACCATTCTCCCATTCTCCTTCATATCTTCTACCATCACCCCAATCATAAATACCATAACCCTTTATATATATTAAAAAAGATACATGTTTTTTATCATTTAGATATTATCCTTCATATCTTCTTCCATCTGGCCAAATATATATACCTCTACCATTCATATTACCAAGATAGAAATCTCCTTCATATTTTCTTCCATCTGTCCAAATTAAAATTCCCCTTCCTGATATTTTATTTTCAACCCAATCTCCTTCATATTTTTAACCATTGCTCCATTAATACTTACCTTTACCATGCTTTAAAGAATTCTAATAATATCCTTCATATTAAGAGCCATCAGGCCATAATTCAATACCATATCCATGTTACTTATCATTAAACCATTCTCCCTCATATTTTGGACCATCAATATGTTTATAGACTCCATATCCATTAGACATATCATTTTCCCATTCTCCTTCATAAATATCCCCATTAATATGAGTAAATTTACCTCTTCCATGAGCTTTATTATGTTTCCATTCACCCTCATATTTAGCACCATCTGACCAAATTTGGATTCCATATCCATCCCTTGAATTTCCTCTCCATTCACCTGTATAAGTAGCTCCTCCAGGGAATCTAAATATTGAAATAGAATACGTATAAGTAGGTTTTTCAATTCTAGTTTAATCATCATGATTTATAGTAATACCACTTTCAACAGTTTCAGTTTCAAAAGCATAAAGTATTTTTTGATCATCAACCTTACGTCTAACAATATAACCTCTCCAATATTTTTAGATAACAGTTGCCATTTTATTTTTTATCATCCATGTCTTTTGTGTTTTAGAACTAGTAGTTTGAATTGATACACATTCCTAATTAATAATTATGTTACTTATATTTCAAATGTTCTCTTATCACAATTACATTGAGAACATTGAGAACCCATTTAAATATATAATTATATTTGGCATTTCTTTAATTTTGAACAATTTATTTTAATAAAATATAACGATTATGTTAGCTGACAAAACTAGTGCCTATGTGAATTAAAGTTCAGTTTAATCTAAACAACCTAGCAAAAGAGTGGTAATAGAATTATTAACATAATAGCAACTTGATATTTAATATGTAGCATAAACTTTTGAAAAGACTCAATCAATTAATAATCTTTAAGATATGTTTCCAGATAATTAATCAACAGAATTAAGAAATTCTATGACAAATGAAGAAAGTGAAATAGAAAAATTATCATAAGCTTATGCAGATAAATATTATTATGAGATGAAATTTGAACAATATTAAAATTTACTTACATAATAATAAGGCACAATTACTAAATTGCTTAATGAAAAAAAGGATTTACTTGCTAGACTTGAATCTGCTAAAAGTAATGAAAAAGAAATTAGTCTATTGTAATAATTAGAAGTTAAATTTATTGAAAGTCAAAAAGAAAAATAATAATTATAAATGGAATGTTAATAATATAAATATTAAGTTGAATAATTACTTGTAGCTAATAATGAATTATAATAATCATTTCAATCCTTACATAATTAATTTGTTGAATATAAAGATAAATAAGATAAATACTCAATTAAATAACAAGAATTGATAGCTAAATTAACAGATGATATTGGTAATCAAAAATATTTATAAGAAATACATTCTCAAATGTAAAATATTAAATAATAAAATAATTAACTATCTGAATAATTATCTTAATAGGAACTCAATTTCTAAATCAAATTATAAGAAATATAAGAAAAATATCTTATATAAACTAATGAATTAACATAAGACTGTGAATCATAAATTGAATAAAAAGAAGAAGAATTACATTTATTAAAAATGGAATATGAAAAATAAAAATCAGAAACATAAAAATTACATAATGAAAACATGTAGCTATAAAATCAAATTTAATAATTAACTTAAAAGTATTCTTTTTTTATTAATTATTTATAGTTATTAAGATGATATATAAGCTCAAGCATCTTTATTATCTGAATAAGTAGCAGAGTATAAGATAGTTATATAGAATCTTGAAAATTAATTATATCAAATGAACTAAGAAATTAAATAAAGAGATAGATCTTCTTCTAAAGATAGTATGATAAATTCAAGATTGATTTCCAATTATATCAGTAGGTATAAACAATGAAAATGGAATATTAATTTATTCATATTTTATGCTTTTAAAAATATATATATATATATATTGTAATTCTATAAGAGAAATGTTAATAATGTATTCGAAACAATATTAATCTTAGTTTAATAAAAAAATTTTGATAATTATTTTTGTTTTATTATTATGGAAATCTTCTTGAATGGTTACCCATGTATCGTTCCAGAATACTTTACATTCGATTAATTATTTTAATAAACAGGCCAACCTGGAAATTTTAACAATAAAAATTGGCAACGAAATGGTTTAGCTATATTAGTAAATTAAAAAACTTCGGTAAAAGATTTTCTCTAAAAAAATGATTAAGTCATCGTATTTGTAAGTTAAAATATAAATTTCAAGGACAAGCCATAAAAGCTAGGATCAACAATCTAATCTTAATAAATAGGCACTTTTACAGGTGCTTAATTTGTAAGCCCATCTTTTCAAATGAATTAAGGAACATAGTAATAGAAAATTATATTTTTATAAAATTAGAATGTTCCAAATCAATAATTTGGAATGTAATAAGTAGGAATGTAATAAGTAGGAATGTAATAAGTAGGAATGTAAAGTATGAATGTAATGACATAAGGTAAATCAATAATATAAATAACGAATAGGTTAATAAGATTATTAATTACCTTAGTATAATATTTAGACAAATAATAATCTTTTGCAAAATCAAAATTTATATTAATAACCTATTATTTCATAGCCATAACCATAGTCATAATCAGATGATTATGATGTTTTCCAAACATTTACTGATAATAATCAAAATGCTAATGAAGATATATTTTCAACTCACTATTAATATTCAAATTATGAATAAAACAGATAAAAGTATTTATAAACTAAATCAACATGTCCAGGAAATAAATAGTATAAATCATAATTATTTTAGAGATCAAGTTATAAAAGATAATTATAGATTTACTTTAGATAATTATGGAGATGTTTTAATAATTGACAAATTAGATTAATCATTTTATCTTCAAATATCAAATAATTTTAAACTAAATAAAGTTAGATAATTTGATATAGGAAATAAGCAAAAATAATTTGAAAGCAATATCATTTTGGATCTTAATTGTACGAGAGTATCATGGATTCAAGATTTGGATCTATTAGCTGTGTAATTCAACACAGGTGCAATAATTGCAGTATAATTATATCTGGAATGAAAATTATAATATCAAAAATAACAACATCATTATTAATTATTATTATCATATCAATTTCTCTTTCTATACTTTTTAATTATAAATATATTTAATAATTTATTATTAAAATGAGTATTTGTAGAAGAAGTGCTGCATTAATTTTGATAAGGGATGATTTTAATGTATTAATGTTAAAAAGAAATACTGATATATCATTTGGAGGATCATTTGCATTTCCTGGAGGTGTTCTAGAAGAAACAGATTATAAAATAGCTTAAACAGATTAATAATTAATTTAATAAAATCATTTAAAATATTATTGCCATCAAACTCATTCATGGTATGATTCATCATTAATTGCTGCTATTAGAGAAACTATTGAAGAAACTAATATTCAATTAGATTATAAATAATTATATTCATAAATCAAACCATTTATTAGAATAATTACACCTTAAATGATGAAAAAAAGATATGACACCTAATTTTTTATTTTAAATTTAAATAATTATGATACTTTAGATATCAATAAAAATGAAAGTATAAGTTATGAATGGAATACTCCTATTGGATTTTTGGAAAAATTTATAAATAATTAAATAAGTTTATTTCCACCTATATTTTTATAATTGTTATTACTTAAATAATTAGGAAGTTATAATAATATTCTTACATATATTGATTCAGGAGATTAATTTAAACATACTTATCCTCATATCTTTTAATTTAGTATTTATATTTATTATTATGTATTTATTAGCTAATAAAGGAATTCTTAATTATCCAGATCCTAACTATGATATATAAAAGTTGCTTGAATCTGAATAAACAGATTATTTAAAAAATGAATTTAAAATTAAATATAATTAAATAGAAAGATCAGATTTTAGATTAGAATTAGAAGGAAATTTAAAAAGACTTACTGGACATATAGGAATATTTAAAAATTCACCATTAGCATTATTGAATGGTAATATTGTAAAGGATGGTTAATTTATATAAAATAAACCAAAACTATGAGATTAAATATCAAATAAATTAATTAAATGGTATTTGTATATTATATATAATCACTAAAATTGGAAAGCCTATTAAGTTTTTGGTTTAGATTATCTTTAAACACTACCTGAATTCATATTCATTCTATTATTGTCTCTTAATACATCATGTTATACAGCAGGACTCTATGCTTTAGTTTAAATTTAAGGATTATCTTTTTGAACAGCATAGAATTTTTATTTCATAACTAATAAATCTTTTTCCATTGTTTAATATTTAAGATTTTTTCCTTCTTAATCTTTATTTCTTTATTAAATTTCTTATTTACAATCCTAAAAATTTATAAATAATATATTTTACAATCAATTCTTATATAATTAATTATACAGATTAAATAATCTTATCTCCATCACTACCTTTAATTGTAGAAAATCTATTTTTAATTCCACTTAAATTTAAAATTTAATTAAGTTTAATCATTTCATTATTTAGTCTTTAATTTTCAACAATCAATTTTTACTATAAAAATAAAACAATATAAATACCATATCTAATTTAGATGTATTTTATGAATTATCAGAATCTGTATTTTTTCTATTTTATTATTATTATTATAATAATTTATTTTTTTCTTCTATTTCTTTTTATAATTATTCTGATAAATATAATTTTTCTTATTTTAAACAAGAATTCTCTTATTTTATTGTATTTAAATATCTTATCTTTTATGATGGATTATTATGACCACCAAGTTATGCTATATCTTTTTACATTTCTTCTATTTATTTATATAACATAGATCTTTCATTATTTGATTTAGTTAATTTTTCATGTTACTCTTATAATTCTTTTTTTAATTTTACATTCTCATCTTCTAAAGTATGCATTTATCTTAATGCTTAATCTTTTTAATCTTTCATTTATTCATTTTCATCTTCTCTTTCTTAATTTTAAGACTATTAATATATATTTATATAATTACTAAAATTGCATTATGTTCAGCTTCTAATTTTAAATATTAATCTTTAATATCATTAATTTCTTTTTCTTATTATTTACAAAATTCTTTAGCTCTATCATGAACATTTTTTAATGTCTCTTCATTTTATAAGAGTGCTGACTCTAATTGTACTATAATCTTTAATTAATTATATATATTATACTTATTATTTTTTATCTATTTTCTATTTTAATTCATTATTTTCTTTTGTAACTTTATCAGCAATATGACTATATTATTCTCTTATTTATGATTCTTATTTCATTTAAGATTCTAATCTATTAAATTGATCTTTTAAAAGATTATATTTCTCTTATTATTCATTAAATTATATGTTTTATAAATCATTCTATTTTTAAATTGATTAATATTTATGTACATTTTCTTAAATTTAATGATTACTTTCTTCTAATTAATTTTTTAATTAAATATTAGCATTTTCAAGACCTTAAATTATTTTCTAAATTATAAAAATATAAATTTTACTGTAAATTTATTTTAATCAGATTTTAATTTATCTTTTAATTGTTATATATCTTTTTGAGTTTGATGATTTAAATCTTCTTTAGTTTCAAATGCACATTATAATCCATTTATTTATTTATTTAATTATTCAATAACCATATCTTTTTATTATAATTACTTTTAATGAATATCTAATTAATCTACTAATTCTTAAACTTCTTTTTTATGTTAATCTTCATTCTTTTTTAGATGTAAAGAATATTACTTAATTTCTAATTCAAGTTATTTACTCAATTTCTTTACAGATGATTTATTTTCATCTACTTATAATTATTTTTAATCCAATTCTACTCTCATTTAATCTATTTCTTCATGTTATGATTCAATATGTTAATTTAATTATTATATTTCTTTTTTCAATAATAAATTATCTTTACTTGTTAATTCTAATTATTATTATTAATTTGAATTAAAATTATTTAATTACAATTTTAATTAATCTATTTATTATTCCTTTTATTGTAATTCATTTAAACTTAAATTTAATTTTTATTCAATTTTATAAATTTCTTTTTATTTATCACTAATTTAAATTTTTAAAATATTGTTATCAGTTTCCATTTAATCTGTTTCTTTCTTCCAAATTTCAGAACTTTTATCCAAAATCTAATTTTATTTATTCAATTCTTATTGTAAATATTCAAATTCTTATTCTTTATCATTAATTTTATTATTCAAAAATTATATTTGAGTTTATAATAAATTATTTTAATTTTAAGATTCTTAATATTATTATTCTAATTAACTTATTGTTAATTTATATTTATTGGATTCACATTCAATTTCCCTAATTTTATCATTCAAATTAGTTTTTTCATTAGTTAATTATTCTATTGTTCTCATCTTTATTTATAATTTTTAAGTCATATCTTACAATTTACCTTATTATTATATTTCCATTGTATTTCTACTTTATAAATTTTCATTCTCTATTGATACTATTTTTTATTATAATTATTGTATTTCTTTTGTTTAACTCTCTAATTTGGACTTATTTTATAGCATATCTCTTTTCAATTCAGAATTAACTTAGTCCTTTTGTTCCATTCTAGCTTACAAAGAAAGATAGAGTTCATGAACTTGATTATAATGATCTGATGTTTCTTGAATTACAGCCTGCTTACTTTCTAATTGCTTTTACAATATCTCTATGCTGGACATCTACTCTTTTTGAATTTCTTCAAACTCTTATTTTTATCTTTCTAACATGCTCTCTAAATGTTAAGCTCTTTAAGTCTCATTCTATATTTTTTAATTTAACAACTATAATAAATAAACCTAAATAAATTACATTAATTTAGAATTCTTATTAAGATTATGTTTCTGTAATATAAGTTTCTTTTTCTTTGATTATACAATTTAATGAGTGAATCTAAATAATAAATAAAATATACTTCTTGATTCAATTTGGTTTAATCTTAATCCTTTTTTGCATTTAATTAGGATAATAATAACTCAAAATCTTTATTCTATTATTTAATTTAATCTTAATAATTCTTCTCTAAGTTTTAATTTTGAACTAATTAATTTTATTGATATATTGCTATTTCTTCTTAATATTTTTGTTATGTTTATTAAAGTTATAAATGAGTATTTTAAAGATCTTCATCTTTAGAGTTTAATTTTTGAATTAAAATAATAATTTCTTATTGCATATCTTACTTTTCCTTTGATATAAGAGAATTTTAATGTTATAAATTTTAGTTATCTATTTATGATTGTTATAATTAAGTAAATAATTCTTATTCTGAGTTTTCTAATTTAGACATGGATAATTATAATTAATCTTAAATTATGACAAGTTGATTTTAATATTTGGAACATTCTTATTTTATATTTATATTTTCTTACTCTAATTATGAAATAGATTATTAATTTAATTGAAGTTTAGTATTTTAATCATTTAAATTATTTTTTAATTAAGTTATAATACTTTCATAAGTAGATAATTATTATTTTAATTCTTAAATTGTAATATCATTATCAACAATTATTTGATTTAATTATTTTAATTTTTCTTCATTTTCTATCAATTCTTAAGTAATTTAATTATTTTAATTTTATTAATTTAGTATTTATTATTTGAATTCCTCATTTTATTGATTTAAATATTGATATTGATTAGATTATTATTAATTTTAATCTTTTAATTAAATTAGTTATTATTCAAGAATAGCAATTTATTATTTAGAATTATCTTAGAATACAGAAATATTAGTTTAAGTTAATTCATAATTAATTTCTATTTCTTATTTTTAAGTTAAAATTTATTGATTTTCAATCTTTAATTATTAAATTACTTTTTCTGAATTATTATATAATTCTTCTAATTCTTAATTTGAATTTTTTAGTTCTTAATTAAGATCAGTAATTTTAAATTTCAAATCTTAAATTTGTTAATCTCTAACATCAACAATTTAATCATTTTCATTAAATGTAATACCATTTTCTTCTAATTTATGGAATATTTATTTTTCAATTTCTTTAATTTATTCTTCCATTTAAACTAATTTTTGTGTCTATTCTGATAACAATTTCTCTTTATATTCTGATTAGGTTTCTAATTCTTTAAATTTATCTAATGTGACATATTATGAATTAAATTATAAATCTAATTATTATTAAAATTATCTTCTTTCATTTAAAGAATTCTAACAAATAAATAATAATAAATACTTAAACAGTTTCAACTATATCTTTTAATAAATTGAGATTTGTATCAACTTGTACTTATACTTTTGATACTGTTTATGTAGCTCCTTATTATTCTTTTAATGTTAAATTTTCATAAAATGTTTTCATAACTAAACCTTATGATTATAAAGCATATGCTAATTATTATTAAATTTATTATTGTATATCATCTGCTGATTAATTTAATTTTAATTTTTATATTTATTCATTTTACAATTTTATAACAAATTTTAATTATTATTCTAATTATTATCCTAATTAAAATCCTTCTTTTAATTATTTAATTCCATTTAAATATTTTTCAATTTCTAAAAATAAAGCAGTTTCACTTTCAGTTGATTATTCCAAATAACATTTTAATATTTCTTCTAATTTAATATATTTTTAATCATTTATCATTAAACTTTCTAATTCTAATGATTATAAAACTAATTAATAATATAATATTTAATACATTATTCATTAATAAAAGATTATTATTATTATTTTTATTCAAACTTTTTTGGTGATTCCCATTTTTATTATTAAGTAGTAACACTTTTAGCAAGTTCTTATTTGAGTCTTTTTATTTCATTCTTTAAACTTTCTAAATTTCCACTTTCATCTTCATTAATTCTAGCTTTATTTTTTACTTATTTGACTCTTTTAGAAAACATAAGAGTTGATAAGGTTTCTTAATAAAATTATTAAGATTATTAAATATTAGCAATTAAATGAGTTCTTGAATTACCTCCCAAAGAATCTTTAAGTAAAAATGTTAATTTAGAATCTCTATAATGTACATAAGATTAATTATCTTCAACAAGAGAATTTATTACATTACCCAATATATGTAAACTCTTATTTATATTGCAACCTTCTCTTAATCTTTCTCCTTAAACTTAAGATTACTTCTATCTTTCACTACCTGCAAGATCTACAAAATGAAATCTTGAAAATCTATGATTTATAACTTAAGTTTAAGATGATTATCTTCTTGATTCAAGTTATATTGTAAATACACTATGTGATCTTGATGATTCAATATTCATTTGAGTTGATGATATATGTCTATTAAGACTACCTCTTTAAAGTACTTCCAATGATTCAGTTACATTTGTACAAACCTCTTCACTTAATTATTCCACATAAACACCTTTCTTAAGATCTTCTCTTAATTATAAGTTTCCTAATTATGGATTCAATAAATCTATTATATGTTCATTATAGATTTCTAAATAACTGCATTTCACTAAATATTCTACATTTTCTTAAGAATCCTCCAAAATGCAATTAAATAGAAAATCAATTACTCTTGGTAATAAACCTGGTTACTTTTATGTACCCATCATTGTATATGTTTTACCACTTCCAGTTTAACCATATACAAACACACATCCATTATAACCATCTAGACAATTAATTGCTTATTATTTTCCAACAATATTAAATATGTCTTCTTAGCTTGAGTCTTATTATGCTACGTAATCAAAATAAAAATATTTCTAATCTTACTATTATTATTAATTGCCCTCAATAATAATAGTATTTTTTAAATTGGAATCCAATTTAATACATGATCTTCCATCTTCTATTAAAGGTCTAGCATAATTAATAATTAGATTCTTACTTTATTCTGATGGAAACTTGAATATTGTCTCGTTCAGCCTTAAATTTATCTGTCATTTTTCAATTTTTAAATTTGAAATTATTATAATAAATAAAAATCAAGAAATTATTGCTGTTGTAAGGCTTATATTATCATGGTAAAAATAATTGTAATCCTTACAATTTTTATTCCAAAATAACAATAGACAACAGTTTCTAAATCTATTTTAATCATTAATTTCATTTTCCATCTAACTATTCTCAATTAAACTAGATTGTTAATTACTAAAAACTAATTAAATATTTATTACTTAATTTGATTAGATTTTTTTCTTAATCTCTCAAATGTAGTTTTATTATTTAACATATTCTTCATCTATCTACATATTAAATAAATCATTAACACAAAAAACAATGAAGTTATTATAAATTAAAATACAATATATTCTATCTAAATTCCTTTTGATATACTCAAATATATTCTTAGATCATTGAGTGAATCAAATAATATATCAAATGTTTACAAATAATAAAATTTTGAGGAGGTTATTTCAATAAATGTTTATTTCCATATAATATTGATAAACAATACAATTGAAATAAATAATTGTAAACTAATTATTAAGAAAGTGAGCCATATAAATATTATGAATACAAAATGATTTTTAGCACCAATACAATTATTTATCCATGGACAATGATGATCAAATACAATAATACACCTATTGCAAAAATCACAATGTATACTTCTTTTTGCCTTAAGAGTTTCACATTCTGAACAAATTTCTAAATTTTAAGGATTATTTTATAGAATTTAATAAAATAATTGTCCTTCTTATTTATATTGAATTTAATATCCAGGATCAGAATTAACTATGTAAATAAATAAAAACAATTCAAATATATCTGAAATAATTTGAATGTAACCAAATAAATTATTTCCTATAGTAAATAAAATTTAATAGATTAAATTGAGTATTAACATTAAAATAAAAGTATACATTTAAAATCTACATTTTTTATTCTAAATATATAAATTAATATAATACAATTCTAGCCTTATTTTTCTATCCAAATAAATTGTTACATTTGATATTTCCTTCTTAATATTCCAATATCATTTGACTAATATCATAGTATTCATTTTCAATAGACAATTAATAAGCTGTTTTCCCCTATTTATTTCTTAATCTCGTTTTGGCATTATAAAAAAGTAATTTTTTTGTGATCCCAATTTCTCCACCTCTAGCTGCAACATGAAGTGGAGAACAGCCATTAATATTTTTTTAGTTTATTTTACAACCCCAAGCCAAAAGTAAAGAAGCGCATTATTCACTTCCTTAATCACTGGCTAAATGTAAAGCAGTGCTGTTATCATTATCTGTAATATCAATATTAACTTTTGCAATTTTTATTAAATAATATAATAAGATAGGTTAATTAGATTGTGATGCTATATGTAAAGTTGTTTATCCTAGCTTAGTTTTCTAATCTAATTATATTCCTAATTTAAGTATAGTATCAAGAATTTCTATATTTCCTTTTTGAGTAGCTAAATGCATACATTAAACTCCTGAATCATTTTACTAAGTAACCCATTATTAAGTTTCAGACTTACTAGAATTAAATAATGAATTCATACCCAAAATTTTGAAGTGTATATTTAATTAAATCTATAAAAATTTAAGTATTATCTTTCCAAACTGCATGCATAAGCAAAGTATTTTATTTTTCATCAACTATCTATTATATATTGATTGGCTGCACATTGATAAGAGAATCATCATCTTTAATCCCCAATATATATTAGACTCCTTTGGCATCTCCATTTCTCACTTTTGAATATAGTTCTACATAAATTCTTTAAGTATTTGAAGATTAATCCTAAATAAATACTATTTAAAATTACTTTGAAAAATGTAGTTTATGATAATCCATAAAGATTAATTTCCCTATTAATATAATTTATAGGATCCCTAGATTAGAACTACATTTATTAAATAATTAATAATACAAAACTTTATAATACATAATTTAAAGAGTGTTATAAAATTTCAGAATTTTTAAGTGAAATATTTATGATAGATAATTCATTAATAAAATTAATTATTATAATGATGATCACTTCGTCCGTGTTTTTGATTGTTTATGATATACACTTGTCACTACTCTGAAAATATAATCTATATATATATATATATATTATTAAATGTTAAGAAGATTCTCAGCTACAGTTCCATTAATCAAGAAATTGTATTTCACTTTCTCTGTCAATGAAGGTATATAATTTTGATAATCAGAATACAAGATCTAAATCCTCAATAGACTCAAACAAATAAAGCAATCCAATTCTGAGAAAGACATTGTGTCTAATGGTCATATTGAAAATCTATCAATTGATCAAGGTATTCTAATGATCAAGTAAATTAGATGGAAGAGTTATTATTGATCTCAAATTAGACTAAGATTACAGAAAGATTAAGTCTCTTTGTTCAGATGCCCTTAAATAATTTGAATGGATTAAGAATTTGGATATTCGTATGGCTCCAAAAAAAGAGAATATATCCACCCAAACTAATTCCTAGAAAAGAGGAAATCTGTAGAATGTTAATAAGATCATTGCTGTTTCTAGTTGCAAAGGAGGAGTAGGTAAAAGTACTATTGCATTAAATCTTACTTTTTCCTTGCAAAAATTAGGATTCAAAGTAGGGATATTTGATGCAGATGTTTATGGTCCATCATTACCAACCTTAATTGGCAAAGAGAAATAATAATTGTATGCTCCAGAAGACAAACCTAAAGAAATTCTTCCCATAGAATTCAATGGTGTTAAAACCATGAGTTATGGTTATGCTAGTGGCAATTAAAAAGCTGTTATTAGAGGTCCTATGGTTAGTAGCATTGTTGTTTAATTAGTATAACAGACTTAATGGCAAAACTTAGATTATTTAATTGTTGATATGCCTCCAGGAACAGGAGACATTCAAATCAGTTTATGTTAAGAATTAAATTTTAATGGAGCAGTAATCGTTACTACTCCTCAAAGATTAAGTTTCATTGATGTTGTTAAAGGAATAGAAATGTTTGATGTTCTTAAAGTGCCTACATTAAGTGTGGTTGAAAATATGGCTGAATATGTTTGTCCTAATTGCAATCACTTACATAGACCTTTTGGACCAGGTTACATGAATATGTTACAAAAACAATTTGGAATAGCTACAGCCCTATCTATACCCTTATATGAAGATATTTCAAAATATTCAGATTTAGGAAGTCCTGTTGTATTAACTTTGCCTGAAGATCATACTATAAATAATTTATATAGATAATTAGCCAATAATGTTGTGAATGAATTAAACAGAACTGATTTATCTAAAACTCCTACAGTCAGTTATGATACTACTAGAAGAGTGATCATTATTAAAGATTTCGAAGGCAAAGAAAAACCTATAAAATCAATAGAACTTAGATCTAAATGTAATTGTGCTTTATGTGTAGATGAATTTACTGGAAAAAGATTAAATCATGTAATTTTTTATTTAAATTAAGAATCAAAAACTTGATCAAGAAGTTTATCCATAAAAGATTGAACCAAAAGGAAACTATGCTGTAGCAATAGTTTGGTCTGATGGTCATCGTTCTTCTATCTATCCCTATAAAAGATTATGGAGTGATGAAATTAATGAGCATAAATAATGATAATTATATATTAAATTAAGCAAATAATAAATGTTTGTCAATTAATGTATTATTCTATATTTTCTTTTAATACATTTTGCTAATCTTAATTTAATTGATGAGCCTTAGCAAATCCTTTAATTACTTATTCTATATCATCTCCTTCTCTAATACAAATTTTTGCCTTTCTATTTTTTGAGATTCTTATTTCAACATTCAATAACATACTCTTAGAATTAGATATTCTTTTACTCAAATCAAAAGGTTCTGGAACTGTTTAATGAGGTCTATTTTGAATATTTGTTTATTCCATATCATAGAAATTTTCTTTCTCATATTTCATTTACCTTGCCTTATTCATTCTTTCTATTATTGCAGACTCACCTCTAACAGGTTTAAATGAATATCTTTATTTATTTGTTAACTTTGGTTTGAAAGTACATTCCATCAATTCCTCTTCTTCCCTTTATCTATTCAAATTTTCTTTTAATTTTTGTTTATGTATTTTCATAGATTCTGCATTTTGATACAATCTATTAAATGTACTTACATTATCTAATCTTTTTGTTTAATTTGAAGTTAATTAAGGTTTAAATAGACACTCTGGATCATCTTATATATATGATTCTAATTTCCTTTTCTTTTCTTATAATACTTTAGAATGCTCATAAAGTATTTCAAATCTATTTATTGTATCTGTAATTTGAGTATCCTGTATTTGTCTTTTTTTTACATTAGTTTAAATATTATTGCAAAGTTAATTCTCTTTTTTTTAAGATGATTATCCTCTAGATCCATCAATAAATTTAACATTTAATAATTTGAATTTATTAGTCAATCTAAACATCAATTCTTCTAATTCTTCAAAATTTATCACTTATCTTGGTATATCCTAATCCTCTAACTCAACATTAATAACATCTGTTAATAATATAATGGATTAACTTTATATTAATTATTTTTCCAATAATATTACTAGAATATTAAATAAAAATCCAACAAATACACTATCTAAATCTAATCCTAAAGTTAATAATTTCCATAAATCTATTGACATATGATCATTTTTTGTAGATATTCCTAAATCAACTAATACGTTGCAAAATCTTTCATAATCCAATTATTCATCGATCTAATGTCGATTAAGTATTGTATTAATATGTGTTTCTAATTTCTTTAACAAGATCTTTTATGAATTATAATCAATCTTTATTTTATTAGATTATTATTTGATTTCTTCATTCTTCTCTTCTTATTTTTGATTAATTTTTTGTTATTTTTCTATAGCTTTATTATATAATGAAAAAAAATGATCTTATTGAATTTATCCATTGATTTCATATCCATTTGAACTATCACAATTTCTCAAGTATTAAGATTAATCTCCTTATTCAATATTATAATTATCAATCATGTTCGTTAATTTAAAAAATATATATTAATTATTTTCTATGATAAAATAAATATATTCTTTTTATGATATAAATATTTTCTTATTTATAAATTCAAAATATACTTTTTAATTATTTTTACAATAAACTAAAGATGATATTATTAATATAATAATTTTATAATTCATTTAGTTCCTTTGTTAGCAATTAGGTGAGAATAGTTATAACTTTTATATTATGGATTACTTATACTATGTTATAAACAAACAGGACAATATCCTTGTTATTTTTATAATGCTTAATTTTATTACCAAATACAAATAAAATTACATCGTTTATTTGAACAATGAACCAATTATAAATCTTTATGAGATTTTAATTTTAATTGTATATTTTCACTTAAAACTTATAAATCCATCTAATTCTTCATGTCAAGATATTATCGTCCAAAAATTAATATTTACTGGCATAAATTATTGCTAATATTTTTGCTGCATTAAGGACATTTTGCTTTTTATTTACTGAATAATGCCTTAGCCAAAATTTATTCCAATTATTACTCCTTTATTTGATGGTTGCATTTATTAGTGAAGTATGAAGTTTCAGATAATCTATTTTCTACAATTCTTTCAGAAACGGGAGAAATTTATTTTACTTCTACATTATTCTGAATATTTTTTAAAATTTAATTTTCATCTTTAAGTTTTTTGTTTTCTTCCTACAAATTTTGATACATATTTTATAACTTTTTGTATTCCTCTTTTAATTTTTAATTTTCCATTTCAAGTTACTTAAAATTTTAAGACCTAAATTAATACTAAGTATGTACATGCTTTATTTATTATTATTGCTTTACTAAGATGATTCATTTGAAACCTATTCTGATTTTTATTCAACATTATTTACTAATTATGAAAATTATTGGTATTATTAGGAAACTTTTGGTTATATTTATTTAAATTATTCAATATTATCTATTATTTATTATCTTTCTTCACGTTAATCACATAAATTTTCTTTATTTTTTAATTAAAATTTAGACACTTAATTTTAAATATGATTATTATTTATATCTGCATTATAATATTCTGTAATTGGAATTTAAGTAGCCATGATCCTTTTTTCAGGATAAATTTCTGATTAAGCATATTCATTAATTTTTATAAACTCAGATTTTGATTATATTTGCTAATCAATTATTCTATACCCTATGTTTCTATTTTTAGTTCTCTTTATTATGTCTATTACATATTAATTTAAATCTCCTGTAAATTAAATATTTTGCTCAAAGAATAATTTAATATCTTTTTCAGTGTGTTAATTTTTTTGAATGTGAACAATTAAATCTAAAACTGTTGAGTTATCATATGCTCTAAAAGATTATTATGATTAATTGTCTCCTTTATCAAGATTCTTTAAAGCTATTAGAATAGCATCACAACTTTTTGATCTTTAAATTTTTAACATCTTTTTAAGTTTAAATTCAAAATATATATTATTAGAGTTGTTAATTTGTAGATAATATATCTGATACAAAATATTTATGAAAATTAATTTAAATCTTCTTTAACCAATAGCTAATATTATAATTAAATAGATCAAAATTAATCTAGAAATTGAAAAATAATAGAGAAAAGTTTAATAAAATTAAGGTTTTAACAATTGAAAATTTATGAAGACTAAATAGAATAAAAAAGATAATTATTTATTTTCTAAAGATTGATTTAAAAAATGTTTAACTTAATTCATAATCATGTTATTTCATTAATTCATAAAATATAGTATATTATGATTAATTTATGCTTATAGATATTTAACAATATAAGATTGATTATATATTTTATTATTATTATAAATAAATAAATTCAAATTTAAGATTTATAGAAATAGAAGTTTTCTAATATGAGTTCTAAATAGTATATAGAATTTATATATTAAGTGTTTGGAATTAAAATGTTATAAATTGAGCTAATTAATTTTCATTTATTTATTATTTAAATGTAATTATTAAACATATAATATTTTTTCAAAGTTTTGGTTTAATAAATAACTTAATTATCATTTTAAGAACCTATTCTTTTGCAGATTTGGAGTTTTAAAAAGCTAATTCAATCAAATTGTTTATTAATTTTACATAGGTTTTCCCTGAAAAAGGTGAATTGATTATAGATATGGTATCAATAAAAATCCTCAATCTTTTTACTATTTTTTTTTATTTTTTATTTGTTAATTTCTCTGAAGAATACCTTTTAATAACAAACTTTAATAACTTTTCTGTCATTTACTTTTTTGACATTGTAAATAATTTTATTAGATAATACCAAAAAAATTATTATTATAATAATCCAATAAACTTTTCAGGGTATGGAATATATTTAATTAATTTTTTAAGTTATTTGATAGAAGGAATTTCAGGTAAATATAATTTACCTTAACTTTAAATATTTTTACCTAGACTTTTGAAAGTATTTTCTGGTTTTTAAATTTCTTTTTCATGTATTATTTAAAAAAAAACATTCATTTTTGCTAATGTATTAATATCATCAGGTGTAAATGAACCAATTAATGGATAATCTAAATACCCTAAATAATCAGGTAATAATTCTCTAAATTTTGCACTACTAGCTTCAAGCCAATAGAAAATTAAATCTGTACAAACTCTAGAAGATTTTAGATTAGATGAATATGGTATTGGATCTGTTGGAACTTTATTTACTAATTTTTTAATCATTCCTTATAATAATTTTTAGTAATCATAATCTGCTTATAAACTAGTCTAAAGATACATGAGAAACTTTTATAGTTCTCCTTCTTAATATGGTGGTCTAAATATAATATATTTAGATGATTGTCTTAAGATTTAAAGTGGATTTATTATTCTTATTTTTGGCCAACCAATATGTAATAATTGATCTTCTCTTATTAATACTAAAAGATGATCATATTCAATTTTTAAAATTGATCTAGAAAGGGAATAAACAAAGCTATCAGTTTATGTTAAAATAAAGTCACCCACTTAAACTTTCTATTTAAATTCTTCATTTAATTGATATTGTTCTATTGTATACTTTTTATCCATTTATAAATATATATATTATATTTAAAAAGAAAAACAAATCACTAAATTTTTCAATATTTTAATCTAATAGCCAATCTAAAATCTTTAAAACAATATTAATTCTAATTTGAAAATCTTTGATGTTTAACTAATACCCATACTCCATTTTTTGAAACCTATTTTTCAAAACCATCAACTAAAAATATTCTTCCATTTTAGATTTTAATATGAGCATGTTTACGAGATGAACAATCACTTGGATTTATCATCTATATTTATTCACATTTATTATCTTAAATCTTTTTAACAAAAACAATTTGCATCCCTTCTTTAATAGCAAATGATTAAGAATTTATGATTATTTCATCTTATTATATTTCAATAGTCTATTTATTAGACCCTGAAGGTAATCCAACTTGATAACGTTCTCCTCTAAATAATTCTTTTTAATTATTGACTTTTTCATAAATTCCATCATCTGATAAATTTACAACCATTATTAAGCTTTGATTATTTAGTTTACTAAAATTTATTCTAATGTTACGTAGGATATATTAAACTCAATACTTCATCTTATTAATAAGTACAATTAATATCCTTAAGTAATGCTTAATCTAATTAAGCAAGAGTAGAATCTTTTAAAACAAATCCATTATTAATGTCAAAATCTTAGGTAAATCCATCAGTTATGCTTCTAAAAACAACTCTAAACATTAGAAAAGATATACTTCTAAAATATTTCTTTAGAAATATCACTTAAAATATCTATTGGAACTCTTAATGTATTCACTTAATCCATAAAATATTATTATTATTCTTATTCAATTTAAAATTGATAATTGCTCAAATTGAAAATTCTTCTTAAGAAATCTTTCTTATTCTTTGTAGCTAGTGACAGAATCATAGAACTTTATATATGAGAAAAGTAGACACTAGAACTTTTAAGGTTAAGAATGGGGTCTGAAAATAAAACTCATACAGATATGGAAGACAATTGGGCTATTTCAATAAATTCTTAAACAATCCAACTGGTCTAATGTCCAAATTTTTTAATTGCCACATCATTAGTTTGAGCAAAATTTTAGTCCATAGTAGTAATAAAGGTCAAGTTTTATTTTGCATTTTTTTTGGAAGTTTTCTCGTTAACTATTTAATAGAACTCTTTTACAATTCTTCAATTAAATAATTAAAGTAGATCTCAAATAGAAAGAGAGCTAAAATAGATTCCTACTGTACCCCATTTAGAAAAGAAATTTTTTTTTATCAGGATTGTAAACATAAAGTTATTTATAAATCAATAATAAAGCATAAAACTCATTTTAATTAAATATTCCATGAAATTTAGGATTTTCCCTCAATATCTAAAGACTTAATCTCTCCAAAAATAATTTATGTTATTTGATAATTCAAGTAATAAAGTTAAACTTCCAGATTATTTCTTTTTTCTTTCTATGTCTAAAGTTTTTTAATTAAAAAGCTTATTTAGCTGGATGTGTTTTATTAAGAAGTACTAATCTCATAGATAAAAGATAATCAATTTATAAAATCATATAAAAACTCATTAAAAGTTCATTAAATTATTTACTTAAAGTACTCAATTACACTAAATTATAGGTTTGCACTTTTTTATTACTCATAATCCTTTTTTATTCATATTTCTAAAGATTTATGTCAAAATTATTTGAAAGACTTTTACAATATTAAATTACTGTTTATGTTAAATTAAAAGTAAGTTTTAAACACTAAAAGAAAAAACCTATTTATGATGAGAAGTATACAGTTGATTATCGATCCTCCTATTTTAAAGAGCTTCAAGTTTCTAGATTGTTATATAAACCTAAAAATACTTTGAATTTTTTGAGAAGAGTCTTTATAGCCTCAAAATACTCAATACTATTTAGTAATCATTATTTCATATATTCCAGGATTGTAAAAATTCTTCTATCATATATACATTTTAAAGTTATACTCCAGCCCATTAAACAAATTTTTAAGGCACTATAAATTAATTAAATCAAAATGGTAGCTGTGAGAGACATAAAATCTGAGTATTCATTAAAATAACTCAATTACTGTATCATACCATATTTTCATAGTATGTTTATTATCATCAGGTAATTAATCTACTTAACTTAATTTAATTTCAGTTTTATTTTATTTATTTTTCCTAACCAATTCCTTAATTATTAGAACATTGTGGTTATTAAATATTTATTCATTTAGTAGCTAATATTACATTCAATAATAGAGATTGAGAATTACAATTTTTCCAGAACGATTTTTCATTCTCTCTTTGAACCCTAAGTTAGGTTAATATTCACATATATTAGAGTAAAAGTTGGAAAGAAGAAGATTCAATTTAAATATGAAACTCATAATTTTTCAAAATTACTATATTATTTATAGATTTATTACTTATCAAATATTTATTTATTAGCATAATATATTAATAATATCATGAATATTAATAATATTATTTTAAGTTCATTCTATATTAGTATAATAATTATTTTAATTATTTATGAAAATATCATCTTATTACTATTATATATTTGTTTATCTAAGTGGTAATTTATTTATGATATCTTATTTGTTTTAATTCTTAATTAGATACTCTACATATATATTAATCCATTTTATAAAATCTAGATCTTTTATTAAGTATCATTTGTATTCTCAAAGAAATAATTAAAAAATATAATATAATTCCAATAATTTTGATAATCTAAATGATTTATATATAATTGTAAAATACAATTTTAATTTTATTATCATAAAAGAAAAGAACAATTTTTAAATGATGTAAAATAATTTCCCTATATAAATTTAATAATCATTTGGATCAAAATACTAGATATCCTAAGATAATGGTTGTGAAACCAAGAATATATCCTGAATCATCTGTGTTTGGAGTTGTTGTATTAGGATTAGTGGTTGTGTTATTATTATTTTATTAAACAGCTGTACATACTCCACATTTAGAAGTGGCTGCATTCCAAGTATATGTGTATCCGGAAGATACATAGCATTATTCTTAAGTGAGAGTAGCTGGATCCTTTTCTTTACATTCTGTACCTTCAACAACACAAATTTGTTATGTCTTTTTATCCCAACTCAAGAAATTTGCACAAATTCCATTATTAGATTATTTATAAGAAGCGCATGTATGTGTTTCACATTTGCTAGGATTAGTAGTGGTTCCTGTTTTTACTTCAGGAGTATATGAACATCTGTCTTTAGCTCTGCCACAAGCTTATGCATCATTTTTAGCTGAAGTACATGATGTCATCAAAGCACATGTACCTTAGTTTGGAGTTGCACCTGTAGCAGTGGATTTAGTGAAAACACAAATTCCATCCTTTCCTCCAGAATTGCATGTTATTAAATTTTGATAAGCTGCACTACTGCAATTAGCTTATTCAATACATATAGTTCCATTTGAAACACAAGTTGCTAATGAAGCTTGACAGACAGTTGTTGATATGCCTCCAGTTATATCTGAGCATTAGAAAACTCGACATGCTCCATTATTATTATTGGCTGTAGCATCCCATTAGCATTTTCCAGAAGGTCCATCAGATCCATAAGCAGTTGAACAAGCTATTTAAGTTGTATATGTTGCACAAGCAGCAATTGTTAAACAATTAGCTCCATCTGAAGTACAACCTTTAAGTTTTGAGTAACATTCTGAATGAGAAACACCTTAAAGATCTTTACAAGCCTAATCTCTGCAAGCTTCATCCTTCCACTCACATACACCTGTAGATGTAATATAACCAGTTGATTACTCAGTAACTAGGCCAACGTCATTTATAACACATGCTTCCTTCACTGTATAAGTTGAACAAGCAGCAAGAGGAGCACAAGATGTTACACCATTAGTTGTACATTTTGTACTTGCTCCCTAACACTCTGAGTGAGTTTTATAGAATGCATCAGCACATGAAGTATAAGCTTTACAAATAGGTGGATCAGATGAATCTATTGCTGGAACAGTAAAAATGCAATCTTTATCATATCCAACTTTGCATCCTTCTTTAGTTTTTGTTTCTGAACATAAAGTGATAGCTAAACAAGTAGACCCATCTGTAGTACATTAATTAGAAATCCATTAACATTCATCATGCAATTTCCAATCTCTACTCTTGCATGAAGTATATTGGTAACAAGCTCCATTTCCATTGTTTGCTTTTGGAATCCAAAGACATGGTTGAAGTTATCCATTATAAAAACCTTCAATACAAGCAGCTCTGACTTGAGCAGCTTCACAAGTTGTTAAAGTAGTGCATTTACCATTTGGTCCAGCAGTACAATTAATTTTATCAGATGCTTTTTTACATTCAGCATGTGTAGAGAATGAAAAGTCTTAACATCCTTAATCTCTACATTTATCATTCTCCCAAGTACATTTATTATTTGGGAAACCTGCAACAAAATTGCAAGCTGATTCTGCAGTTGCAGCAGAACAAGTAGACTTAACAACACATCCTCCTCCTCTTTTAGTTGTGCAACCTTCTTTATAAGCCTTACATTCATCTTCAGTATCATAATCAGTTGTAGCAGGAGCTGTAGCACAAGTTCTACTAACACAAGTTGAACTTGCACTAATCCATTAACATTTTTGTTATTAATCATCAGAAACACATCCTTTTTCATTAGTAACAGCCTAACATGAAGTTCTCAATACACATATAGTACCATTAGTAGTGCAACCTGCTTTTGCTTTTTGGCATTCATCATCAGAAGTAAAAGTGAAATCTTCACAAATTTCAAGTTTACATCTATTATTTTCATCTAAAGTGCATTCTGGCAAATAAGCTGCACATTAATCTTTAGTGTTTATATCAGTTGGAGCAGTTGAACAAGATTTTGTATAACATTAACCATTCAAATATTAACATGCATTTCCAGCTCTATCTTTAATACATTATTTTTCAGTCATTCCTTCACATTTTTCAGGTCTAACAACACAACCCATATCATCAGATGCAACTGTACATGAACCATCATCCAAATATGTTTTGCATTCATCATCACTATCATAACTATCTGTATCAGGTGCAGTTTCACATGTTTTAATTCTGCATTTATTTGTGTCATCCCAAACACATGTTTTTCCTTCAGAATCAACATAACATTAATCTTTACCATAATCAGTACAAGCTCCAACCTTTTAACATCCAGCTGGAGATGTAGTTCCATCTGCAGCAGTTACTAGAGTAACTGTACAATGTTCTGCTGTTTTAGTTCCAGCAATTGCCTTATAATAATCATAACAACCAGTATGATCAGTATAAGAACTTCCAGCAGTAGTGCAAGCTTTTTCCATACATTTACTTGTACCATCGTCTTATGAAACCATTACACATACTTAATCAGCTGAATTGAAATAACAATTTTTATCATTATAACTGGAACATGATGATGATCTATTTTGACATCCCAATCCAGTAGATTTAACTGTGCATTTCAATTTAGTTATTCCACTACATAATTCATGAGTATTGTATGAATCCTCTATTTTATCACATGAAAGATCTACACATGTCAAAGCCTTTTTTTCATTCCAGAAGCAATTTCCTCCATTTTTACATTATTCTTCTGATAAATAAGTATTACATGCACCTTTAGTTAAGCAACCACCTATTCTTGCAACTGTACAACTACTCATATAAGTTGTACAATCTGAATGTGTTATAGCAGTAGAGATTGATTTAGTATAACAAGTCTTTTTCACACATTATCCTGATACACTACCCACAATCCATTCACACTCTCCATCATTAACAGAACCAACACAATCTGCTTAGACAGTAACATCTGAACATTTAGTAGGTGCTGTTTTGCATGCATCTGCTGAACTTGCTTTATTTGCTGTACAAGTTGACAAGTATGATGAACATGCTGAATGATTCCATGGAGTAGGTTTATTTGTACATAATTTAGCTTCACATGCTGTACCTGTAGAATTAACGCTACAACTTGTATTGTAGGCTTAGCAATCAGCATATAACAATGAACTTCCTGTAACAAGACCACAATCTGTTGGAGTTATTTATTTACAAGAACCAGTACCTCCAACTACATGCCAATAACACTTAGTTCCACCTGAAGTATTTACACAATTTGTCTCTGATGAGTAACCTGTACAAGCTGCTTTAACTTCAAGGCAAGAAGTGCCATCCTTATTTTAAACACAAGAAGCATTATATCCTTTACATAAATCATCAGTAGTAGTAGTATTTCCTAATTAAGCTTTCAAAAGTTTTGGACAATCAGTGCTGGGTGTTGAAATTTATATACAACCAGGAGAAGAAACAGTACCAGCACCATCAGCATCATACCAATAACACTTAGCTCCACCTGATGTTTTTAAGCAATTCTTTACGTCTGTATATTCTGAACAATTTGCTTTCTTTTCATAACATGCACTTTTATCTGAATTAACATAACAACTTGAATGATAGAATTAACACTTATCCTCATTAAGACTGGTATCAGTAACTGTTATTTTGTGGCAATCAGCACTCGCTATAGCAATACAACCAGGAGTAAAATCAGTACCAGTACCATCAGCATCATACCAAAGGCATGTTCCATCAGAACCTTTAACACAATCAGCTCCATCAGCTGCAGTATATGAACTACAATTTCCAATCGTTAAGCAAGCAGATCCATCTTTTTTAACAGAACATGTTGCACTAAAATCTTAGCATATTTCATAAGATAATAAGGGAGTGCCTTTAATAATATTGGCACATACAATTGGGCTATCAACAGCCTTACAATCTGTATCAATTTTACATAATCCAGCTGTAGATTTTCTACAATCTGGAAGATTAGTATAAAGATTACATGTTGCTAATTAAACAACGCATGCAGTACCAGCAAGATTAGCAGAACAAGCTGGATTAAAAGTTGAGCAAATAGCATTTGTTAAATTTTCTCCAGTTTTTTCACTACATTATGTAGATTTTAATACACAATTAGTACCATCAAATGCACATTATCCTGCTGTTGACCATGAGCATATATTTTATGTTGTACCTGTACAAGTTGGTGGTCTTGTCATACAAGCTTTTGTTGTTCCATTATCAATAGTACAAGTTGAATCTAAATTTTTACAATGATCATCAGTTGAAACAGCTGTGGTACCATTAGATTTTCCATCAGTCTTTGTATAATCAGTACAAGCTTTATTTTAGCAAGCTGTTGTACTATTTGCTTTGCATGAATATTTAACAGTTTCACATTTGGCATCATCATATGTTGTCAAAACAATTTAAGCACATGTCATAGTACTAAAAGTCACACATGTATTATTTCCATTCCAATAACAATCAGCATCAGCTTGATTTTTGACACATTAAGGTTAAGATGTATAATCACTACAATTAGCTTTTCTAGGTATGCAACCTTTATTATCAACTCTTTCGATAACAGTACAAGTGTTAACATAATCATTACATTTGGTATGAGTATTATATGAGTTACTATCTGAAGCATCGGAACATACTGCTTCCCTACATATATTGTTAGCCCAGATGCATTTTTTGCCAGATTTAGTGCTTTTACATTGATTGACTTCATATTATCCACAACTATCTAATTTAGTCATACAAGTAGTTGGAGAAGCACCTTTAGCTACTGTACATGCGTTATCCATTCCTGAGGCATTCTCACAATTTTCATGAGTAGTTAACTTAATTTTCTCACATACTAAATCTACACAAGTATTATCTAAAGTGTTCAAAAAACATGATTTACCAGAAGTTGTTTTTTAATCGCAATTATATTAATTATAATCAGCACATGCAGCAGCTTTTGTTCTACATCCATTACCATTATTACTACGAACGCAACCTGTAACATATGTATTACATTATGAATTTGAAAATGATGTGAGATATCCATTAGAAGCTGGTTATGTAATTGTATTATCTGATGCAGTATCACAACTTCTTGCTTAACATTTCTTGGTAGGATTATAAACACATTATAAACCTACAGATGAATAACAATTATCCTCTCTTTAACGTGATGTACAAGCAACAGTCAAAGGATCAATACAACCATTTTCAGTATTGTTTACTAAACAATTAGTTTTATAACTATTGCATGCAGTGTTATCAGTATTAGTTGATGGTGCTGTACTACATGATTTATCTTGACATTTAGAAGAAGCCCATGCACATTCTCCACCATTTGAATTTGTAATACAACCTTCTTAAGTTTTTATTGCACCACAACTTGGAGGAATGGGCATACAACCTTTTCCAGTATTATCAAGTGTGCAACTATTCATATGCTCTTAACAAGCACTATGAGTAGTAATTGTTTATGATGCCAAACGGCATTCTTATTTATAACAAGAGCTTCTATATTTACATTTCTTATTGTCTTTATCAATTACACAATCTCCTTATTCTACAATATTTTCACAAATCATTTCAATACAAGCATTCTTTACAGAATTAACTGTACAAGATGGCAAATATTAATTACATTTTTCATGTGATGTTCTCTTATCTGATGGTGCATTTGCACAAGTCTTATCAAGACACTTACTTAATTCTGTATCCCAAACACAATCCTTTCCATTTGTATCTTTGAGACATACTTCTGCTACTTCAATTTTATCACAGGTTGTGAGAGTTTAACAACCACCTCCTTTTTTTGGTATACAACCAGGCCAATAAGAATTACAATCACTTAATGAATTTATGGTATTTGGTGCGTTGTCACATGTTCTGGTTCTGCATCCCTTATTAGTAGAATTTACAGTACAAGTAGGCAAATATAAAGTACATGCTTCATGGTTTTCATTTGTAGCAGGGGCATTTTCACATGTCTTATTTTTGCATGTTACATTAAAAACACATAATCCTCCATCTTTATCCTTTTCACATGCAACTTAATCAAGAGAACTGCAAGATCCATTATCCTTACAACCTCCATCTTTCTTTGTTACACATTTTCCTCCTGGTTTGAATTGTTCACATAAAGGATTTGAATTCCTTGTAAGTGGTGCTGATTCACATTTGTAATCCTTACATAGGTTATCAACCCAGATACATTATTAATTAGAACTATTGACTTTACAACCCTCTGAAAGTTTTGCATCACTACAAGTAGTTATATTTCTACATCCTGCTCCAGTTGTAGTACAAGTTGGATCATAGTTTTAACATTGAGCATGAGTACTATATGATGATGTTGCTGGGGCTTTATCACAAGTTCTATTCACACATTCATTTCCAGTCCAAAAGCATTTCTATTTTGCTTACTAATCTCCAAAATAGCATTATTATTCTCCATCTTATTAAGCACAAGATGTAGCACTGTCTTAACATCCAGATCCACTCTTTGCAACAGTACATTTCTTATTCTTTTCTCTACATTTTTCATCAGTTGTTAAATCTTTTGGATAATGTTCACACAAAGTAGCATCGATACAAGCTTCACCAGTCCAGAAACAATCTTGTTTACTTTAATTCACTTTGCATGGCAATTATTTCAAATATGATTTGCATTCTCCAATCTCTACACAATGAACACCATCTGTAATGCATTTGTTAGATATAGCTTAGCATTCTTCATCTAAAGTTTTATTAAATGCTGTGCACCCTGTAAAATGAGTACATTTATCTGTATTCCATAAGCATCCATTAGTCTTTGCACAATCAGCTTATGTGAAACTTTAACAATATGATGCATATGTTATTGTGACAGGAGGAGTTACGGTTCCTTTACCACATGTATTTTTAGTCTCATCCCATGAGCAACCAAGTGAAGTTCTCTTTGTACAATCTGTTTTTGTTAACAATTGTGCACATTCACATTCAGTAATTGATGTTGTGACACATAATGATATTCCTATCAGAAGCCAAAGGCATAAAAATTATTTCATTTAAAGTATTAATGAAAGTTTATTTATTAAATCCATATTTAAATAAAATTTAGATTTAATTTGTTTTAACAATTATCTTACGATTGATTTTACTATAAAAAGTAATTTCAGAATTTTTTATTTAATTAAAATGACATCATTAATATAAATATCATATAATTCTCTAACTAGTAATAGCTGTATTACTCTAACCAAAGTTATATTTTGAAACAAAGAATGACTACATGACTAAATGACTACAATTCAATTAATATTAGATTCTCCTTCCCCTTTTTAGAAAGATAGATTTTTGCCACATTCATATTACAATATGTTTCCTTGAAATTCAGGCAACATCCTTTAAAATGCAGATTCTATTGAATTATGAATATATGTAAAGAAATATATATAAATAAGATTAATAGAGACAGTACATTTTAAGATTTTACACATACAAAATTGTGTAAGAGTATTAAAGTTGTTAACTGATTCATACATGATTATAATTCCTATTATTATAGAATGTCCTTATAAAGTTCAAGTGCAAAAGACTAATAGAATAAAATCTGTTCAATATTTTTTGAATAATATTTATTATGAATCTGCAAATATTATGTATACTGTTTAAATAAAATCAAAAGTATAATATTCTATTCACTAAAGTAGATAAGATTTCAATTTACTACAAAAGTTTATTAAAATAAGCTAATAATTTTTTTTTGAAAAGCATAATAAATAAACCAAAATTCCAATACTATTTCAATAATTAAGAAAAGAAATTTAAAGAATGAAAAATTACTTTTGAAAAATTGTCTCCTATTCATAAAGTTGATTAAATTCTAATTTAAATTATGAATTTTTTTTCTTAAGTAAATTAAAATTAAATATATATAAATATAAATATAAATAAATAATTAATTAATATTATAGTAATTAATTTTAAATCATTAAAAAGTTGAGTAATTTCTCTTAATATCAATAGTCTTAATAGGTGCGAAATATATTCTATTTTTTTCTTGTAAATTAGGATCTTCTGGTGTAATAGATCGATCATTTAATGAAGTGTTTAGTTCTTTTAATAGTTCCCTTCTACTATATCTAATTTTTCTTTATAAAGTTTTGACTGCTTAATTATTTGATATTATTGTTGATGGATATTTTGGTTATTACATTATAGGAGTTTTTCTTTACTTTTTTTCTTCATATTTAATTGTAGCTTAATAATATTTCTCCATCAAAATCAAAGAAATATTATTTTAAGATTTTTTTTTATTATTTAATATTCGTTCTCTTGAAACTCTAACCACAGGCATATCTATCAATTTTGGTTCATTTACACTTTATCTACTTTTAACAGATTCCAATATTTGCTTTGAAAATCTATTTTATGAATTAATGGTTTATTTCTTATTTGATATTCTATATTAAGAATATGATGATGGTTATTTAACTTTAGAATGAATTTAATATTTTTAAGTTTTGCTTCTTTATTTATATATTATCTTTTTGTTTTAATACTAATTATATTGTGGAATCTTATCTAATTCAAATATTTTCATCTTTTCTTTTAAAATATCTAATGCTTTGTTTCCAAGACTTTCGTCAGCTTCTGTTTTACATAATGCACTACTTGAATAAATTATTGAATTATGCATAAAATAAATAATTATTATTAATATACAAAGTTGTTTTACTCAAAAAATTTTCTTTAATGTTCTCTCTAATGATTCTGTATTTTTTCCATGATTTGATAATAAATTTATTAATTTTTAGAGAGATCTTCTCATTCTATCAGTTGATTAAGGTTCATTTTTGATAAATTATTAATTTACTTTTTAAAATTACTCTCTAATTATCATTTCCTATAATAAAAATAAATAAAATACAGATTCAATATTACTAATTATATGTTATATCTAATCTAAAGGTAATAATGTTAATAATTAAAAGTAACTGCCAAGTTCAAAATCTGGGATTTCTTTTATATTTAAACTAGATATCAATTTGAGTAAGTGTTCTTTTGAAACAGTATAGCTCCATTTTAAATGCATTTCAAATAAGATTACTATCATGATTCTTGGAGAAAACTATTATTATTAAACTCTTTATTATAATAATTATAAAATGTCTTCTGCCATCAATTATTAATAATCTCCAAGTTATGTTAAATTAAATACGAATGATTATAAGGCTAGATCACTAAATGCAGAAACTCCAGTTTTTTAAATTCGATTTAATAAGGATTATGTTATTAGACTTATCTCTTATTTTAAAAATTAATCTTTTAATTTTAGTAATGCAGTAAGTAAAATAGTGGATTCTTTGGGTGACATATTATTAAAATCTAAACTTTCAGCAAAGTTAGAAATTAATAATCTATAATAACATTTATATAATTCAATAATTTAACCTAAATAAGTTGCTTCTTATTCTAATTTAATATAAAATAATCCTTTGATTAAAAATGAAATTTAGGAAAACATACAACCAGATATTTTATATTCTGGTTTATAATTTGCAATAGCATTTTTTATTAATTCCTACCATTATCTTATGAATATTTCATTTTTTGTAAGATTATTATATTTTAAAAGTGCTTAACCAAATATATAAAGCAATTAGACTTAAATTGTAAAATTATATTATTTAGATTCTTAATTAGTAAATTAATTAATAAAGGTTTCCATTAGTTATTCATTAATAAATCCTAATTAACATGCTTAATTAATTATTGAGATAGTGTCTTCATTAAATGAATTTAACTAATTTTATACTATCTATGTTAAACATTATTTATTGCTTCTTGATAAAAATAAATTATTTAAGTATATTTTCTCTAAAAGAATTATTAATTGACTAATTTCTATATCATTTACATTCAAATAAGAAGCCAAAGATGTATTAAATTGAAGATTATTTGAATAAAATATGTCCTCAATTAAATATTGAAATTTATTATTGGCAATTTTTGGAGATTCAAATTCACTCATTTCATAATTAGCAAAAAAGTGTTCTAATTTCCCATATAAATATCTAGTTTAATTTTTTGATATCATTTTAAACATTTGAAATGTTGTTCTGGGTAAAGAGACAGCCTTATTAATCATCAATAATTTAATTAACCATAAATAAACTCAATAACAATTAAAATTTCAAGAATTTTATATAATTTAATTATCTAGATTGTAGATTGTTTGTATATATTATAAATATTTTAATTTATGAATAAAAATAAAGAATCTGGAAAATAAGCTTAAAATAATAAACAAAATGATTCTAATTTGAATAAAAATAAAGAATTATAAAAACTTGTTTAAAATAATAAGCATTTTGAATTTTTATCAAGTGGAAAAATTAAATGTATTTTAACACATCATGAAATCTTACCAACTTTATAAGAATTTAATAATTATTTAAATGGTAGAAGCTATAAAAATGCATTAGAAAATGATATTGATTTTACTTAATTTGAACCATATATTGTCTAGCATAAAACTGATAAGTAAAATTAATTAATTAAAATTTAGAAATAAATTATATTGTAATTTGACAAGATAAAATATTAGTAAAAAGAAATCTGTTGTTCTTAAACATGTAAATGGAAAGAGATACAAATATTATTTATCTAGTAATTATATTAATTATACTTAGAATATTTAGAAGAATAAGCCAAAGAAGAACAAGAAAATTAACAGGAAAATTAAGAAGATGAAATATTAAATGAATTAGAAGAATTGAATAATTTATTAAATGATGAAGTTGAAGAACAATAAATAGATAAATAAAAAAATGGTATTTTAAAAGGAGGAAAGAAAATAAATAAAAAGAAAGTTAAACCATAATAAGAACAATAAATAGAAATTGAATAAACAATTTAAACTAAATAAAAAAAATAATAATAATAAGATGGAAAATAAATTAAAAAATTAAAAAATAAATAATAAAAAGCATAAGTAGAATGAAAATACAATGACTTTATTATGTATAATATCAATGTAATCTAAAAAAAATATTAACAAATCATTATTATTCTTCTTCTTAACTTTCTTTTCTTTTTTATTTAGATTTTACTTTTTTCTTTTGAAAATCTAAGAATTTTTCAGTTGTACCATCTTATTGCATTTTCTAAATTATATAAAAATATCATTACTATTTTAATAGTCTTAATGGCTTTAGTAACATCTGTCATATTTGCTAGTACTTTTTCTTCATTAAATTTAATTTCTTCCATTTTCAAATTTATTAAATTTTCTATTGCTAATACTCTTTCTACATCAAATTAGGTCATCATTGTTATAGCTGTACCTCTAATTAAATTATATATTATTAAATATCTACCTTTTACCAGCTCTACCTGTTCTACCAACTCTATGGACGTAATCTGATTCTACTTTAGGTACATTCCAATTAATAACAAATTTAACATTTGGTATATCAAGTCCTCTTGATGCTACATCTGTAGCTACCAATACTTATGTCTTTTATGATCTATAAGCTCTTAAATTACTTATTCTTTCATGTTAAGGTAACATAGAATGTAAACATGTTGATTTAATTTCAAAATGATTAAGTAATTCATTTAACTCATGACATTTTCTACATGTAGGAGCAAATACAATTGTAGATGCACCTTCTAATTTTTTCATTAGATGAATGAAATAATAATCTTTAACTAAATCTGGCATCAATACAAATTTATGTTTAATAGTTTCTGATACTTTTTGTTCTGGATTATTGATACATTCAACAAAATTAATACCTTCAAATTCATCTTTTAATTAATTTGTAACATTATTAAGAGTAGCTGATACTAATGCTATTTATGGAGATTCACATTATTAATATACTTTTTTAATATCATCCCATATTTGAGGTTCTAATAATCTATCTACTTCATCCAATATGAAATATTTAACATTTTTAATATATTTCTAGAAATTAACATCAATACTAAGTAATTCTGAACATCTTCCAGGAGTTCCAATTATAATATGTGGAATTTATCCTAATTATTTTACTTATTTTGATGAAGATAGACCTCCAATTAATAATGCCAATCTTAAATTTACACTAGCACCAAATATTTATATTTATTCAGCTATTTATACTGCCAGTTCTCTACTTGCAGTTAATATAATTGCAAAGATTCCATATGGATCTTGACTTAATGTTTATAGAATTGGAAATGAGAATGCAGCTGTCTTTCCAGTACCTGTTTGAGATGAAACTATAATTATTTCCTTGATTAATACTCAATACATTCTTTCCTTATAATAAAGGAGGAATACTTAAAACTTAAATTGGTCTTGGTTCTTTATAATCAATCTTCCAACATAATTTCAATAACCATTAATCTAAACCTAATTCTTCAAATTTTTTATATTCACCACTATTCATTTTTTATTATTATTATAGATTAATTAATATAATTAATTTATTATTATTCTAACACCTAATTTAAAAATGTTATGGTTTAAATTATCTAAAATTGATAAATATAAAATTGTATAGTATATCTTGAAATAAGAACTTATAAGTATTTAAAGAATAAATTGATTTATTAATAATTAGTTTATAAATGCATATTTTGTTCTTAACATTTTTAATAGTGTAGGTGTATCTTAATTTATATCTATATTACTTTAATCCTGATATGTTTATTAAAAAAATAAATCATATAAATTCAAATTTATAATATATTTGCATATATAAATAACTTTACATATATTATAAATAGTTAATTATTAAAAATGAACAGATTCTGTGATTATAAATCTTGTCAATACTTCATTAAGTAACCCACAATAGAACAAAGATCCAAACTGAATAAGGTTATGTGTCCATTATGTATGGGTGCCAACTATTGCAGTACTAGATGTAGAGATCTTGATTGGTAAATTATAATATATTATTAATTAATAAGGCCAATATATCATAAAGAGATTTGCAAAAAGTCATAGCCAGATAGAGCACGATCTTGTAATGATACTATTGATTCTTGTTCAACAACAAGTGTAAGAAGAAAACCAGAAGAGTTTGAAATAATCACAATTGGAAATAAGTAAGAGTTAGGTAGAGGATCATATGGATCAGTAAAACTAGTCAAGGACAAATAGAATGGATTATTATATGCAATGAAAATTGTAATAATGTGATTCAAAATTTATAGATGAATAAGAGATAAGTTTTTGAATATTGTTCAGTAGAAAACTTGAAAAGGGAAATAAAAATACAACGTAAATTGGCTCATCCTCATATTTGCAAATTACACCATTATTTTGAAGATAAGGAAAATGTTTATTTAATACTTGAATATGCATGTATAATGTTTATTAAATAGAAAATGGATCTGTTTTTAATTATATTAAAAAACGATCTAAATTACCTGAAAATGAAGCATTTGTCTATTTCTTTTAAACTTGTTTAGGAATAGATTATCTACATAAAAATAAGATTATTCATAGAGATTTAAAACCTGAAAATTTATTATTGGATCAAGATGGTAATGTAAAGATATGTGATTTTGGTTGGAGTGCTGAAAGTTTAACAGAGAAAAGAATGACATTTTGTGGTACTTATGAATATATGGTATATAAATATATATATATAAATTTATAGGCACCTGAAATGTTAAATAAATAACCACATGATTTCAGTCTAGATATTTGGAGTTTAGGTATATTATTATATGAATTATTACATGGAAATGCACCTTATAGAGGAAGAAACAATGAAGAATTAGGAAATAAAATTAAATCTGGATAACCAATCAATTTTGCATCCACATTATCAACTGAAGTTATTACTCTTATTAAAGGAATCTTAAAATATATACCTGGAGAACGTTTAACAATGGACTAAATCTTTGATCATCCATGGATGGTTAAAAATGCTACTAATTATAATATTGATATATGGACTTTTGTTTATAAAACATAATATCCAACAAGATAAATTCCTACTGCCAATTTTTAATAAAAACAAAAACCTTATGAAATTTAAAAAAAAGAAATATTAGCTAGACCTATATCATAAGATTATAATAAATTAAAAGAATAACCAATAAATAATAATAATACAACTAATTACAAGGCATATTAGAATGAATATATTAATAAATAAGAAGATTTTAATAAACCAAGAATAAGTAGAGTATCAAATAGAAATGAGATTATGATGCATCAACATTAATTATAATAATAATAATAATAAGAAGAGAAGTTAAGTTTTATGGATAGAGTATTTCTAGCATTTGGATGTTTAAATAGAGAGAAAAAATGATTAATTTTTAATACTTTATTTTATTTTTAGTTAAAATAATTTAAAGTAACTAGAAAATGAGCAAAGTTTATGAACTTTACATTCACTTACTTGTTAAACAACAACATAGTCCTATGATTTCAACAATATCTAAATATGAACCATCTGGTTTCAAAGATGACAATAATCCATTGTGTATGGCTAATAAATTTAGAGTGATGAGATATAGATCAGAAAAATTATTATTACCAGATAACATTCTCTAACATTATATTAATCTATTTAAAAATAATAGATAATTGTTTATACTATTTCTAAGATAATTAACATCCCCTATATAAGAAAATGAATTATAGGAATAATAATAGATAGAAAATATTATATAATAAATTGAATTAGATAGTATACTAATAGAATAATTGAATTTATGGTCAAATATCTTTCAACTTACTTAAAAATAACTATAATCCTTATTTATATGTTAAAATATGACTGATTATTTGAATTTCCTTAAAGAATTCTTAACAAATCAATTACAAAGATTTTAAAATATTGATTTATCTCAAATCAATTTAGATGATGATTTTGACAAAACTGAATAAACTCAAATTATTTATGTAAATGAAATGTATGAGAATCATTATAAACCAAGTAGTAAAAAGAAACTTGTATCTTTTACTCATAAAAATGAATTAAGTGAATCTGATTAAAATTCAATTATTAGAGTAATTCAAAAAAAGAAATTAGCATCTATTAGAGATATATATAATGCAATTATAACATAATTTGATCTTTAACCTAAAATACAATATACTGAATTAAATGGATAATGGATATGTTAAATTGATATTAAAGAAATTTAATCAAAGTAAACTTCTTAAAATAAAACTTAATCATTATTATCTTCATAAATATATATCATTAAATAATTATGTCCAATCATATTTGATTATATACTGGAAAATTCAAATCAAGATATTGATTAAATTAAAAATAATAAAGGTAACTTAAATCTTGCATTACCTACTTCTAAAAATCATAAATTAATACCTTAAGAAGATTATTTAAAATAATTACCTTATAATTATGAATTAATTGAAAATTATATTGAAAATAAAACTAGTAATGAAACATGTTCAATTAGAAAATTATAAAATGAAGTAACTAATTATTTAATTTAAAAATATAATAAATACTCTATTAATAAACAATTATTAAGTGTAGCTTCAACTTATGAATTGACTATGACTTTTATGGACAATGGCAAACATAAATCAATTGAAAAGTATAATATTATTAAAATATGATTTAGAACCTTTACAACTAAACTAAGATTTTGTAATGCAAGATTAATAGGATAATAATATATAATAAATGTAATAGGAAACTTAATATTTGGAGAGGATAGATCAAAATAATTTGAAAATATTAATTAATTTTTATTATAAATTTAATGATTATGACTATTTAATATTAAATTTAAGATTTATCAGAATATTATATATTTTTTTGGTCAATTTTCATCATATCATGTGAATCAAACTCATAAATGGAATTTCCAAATTATTAACTAAATAAGGCTAATTAAAAGCTAGATAGAAATCCTAAAGATTTTAAATTAAATTTAGATAGCTATATTTATTTAGAATACTTAAATAATAAATATGGATAATACATTTATAATTTATCATATAGATTATAATATCAAAAAATCAAAAGAATATAATTCATTAAAAATTAGATTCTTATTTTTTAGAATTAATGATATAGAAATATTAAACATAATATGTCTTAATATTAAGACAAATAAATAAATATTTATATGTATCAAGCTTTTTTTACTTATTTGGCTTTGATTGAAGCAACGTGCAATGTTACAGATTTTTTATTGTAATTATCTTATAATCTAGATTTTGGTCGAGAATAAAGGGTTGCTAACTCTTAAATTTTCTCAAGAGATGAGTATTATTTTTCTTCAATTGATTATTTGGAACTTGAAGTATAGATTATATTTTATACTTTGTTTAATAATCTTAATATTCAGTAACCAATCTATTTTTTCTAGTATTTGTTTTAACAGAGATATATTATTTTTATTAATTGAGATTCATGAAATTGTTGTGGAATGTATTTGATCTTGATTTAGTATCAAATTGAATTGTTTATTTCTATTGATCTAATATTATTTTATCGATTATTGATTGAGTTTTTTATTGCAATTACTGATTCTTCTAATATTTAGTATCTTCGAGATCTTTCTTGAGCTAATTTATCTCCTTTTAGTAACTCTAAAGAATATAAAAGCATGAGATTATACCATGACTTAAGCTTTATAATCTTTTTCTATAATTAGTTATTATTCATAGAGTTCTTGGATGTTTTCACAATGAATTTTCAATCTCTATTCTGTCTAAAGTTATTTTAATTTTTGATACCCTAATATGAGATCTGCACTCACCTTCATACTTTTATAACTATTATTCTAATTAGGCATATTGGCAGTTTATTTCTTAAAGAATTCTAGATAGAAATATTAATTGAAATACCCAAATAATTCATCAAGGACAGATATGATAATTTGAATGCCCTTTAAAGCATTGTTTGGTTATTGGATAGTTATTGTTGATTGTCCTAATTCTTATAAGTTATGTTTAAGTTTGGGAAAATAGTTAGTAATCTATAGCAATAATAGTAAAAGGATTACTTCTTATTAGATCTGATCTAGTAAGTTCATGAAGATAATATTTATTATTGTTATTATTATTGTGAATATCAATTTCCAATAAATTTAGTTTATTCTCTGGATGGCTTTTCGTTTCTTTAATGCTTCAAAGCAGGATGTGGTTATCTAAGCAATTCAAATGTACTATCATCTTGTGTCTTCTCCCAAGGTTTATAATATCTATAAAATTATAAAAAAGTTAGTATACTTCATTTGATCAACTAAGTCAACTTCTTTGGCAAGTTATTAAATAAGAAATTCAATTTATTCAAAACCAAATTCCTCTTCAAGCTATCTAATATCCTCTATTTCATCTGTAATTCGCATAATATATTTTAGTTTCTCTTCTGTGTATATTCTGTAAAGAACACCTTCGGGGATTTCTGCCTTTAATTTATCAAGTATTGTATAGCATAACTTCATTATCTTTGCTCTTGGCATAGGCTCAACATCAAGGAAACTGTATCCAGTAGTTAATTTGATTTTAGATGATGGTACCTCATACTTCTTGGCTTCATAAGGTCTTAAATAAACAGGAATTGGATTTGATTGAGTTGCTGATGTCTAATTACCAGAAGCTACATTGGATGATCCAAGTGTTGTGGCAAATCTGAATCTGGGTATCAATCTATAGAGTGTATGAATCATTTATATTTAATAATTAATAATAAAATGAGTGTTCATAGGAAAATATTAGAAAAGAGTGGCAGATTGGATTCCCTGTAATAATAATAATAACCAGAGCCCTATGCTTAAGAGCTTGGAAAATAAACAATAGAAAAATAGGATTCTGAAGTTCTCAAAAATCTAGATGCTTATTAACAATACAATTCAATTAATAACATAAGGATTACATCTAGAGTGTTTCCAAGAACTAAATAATTGTATATGGAAGCCAAAATTCCATTTGCTGTGATTATTCAACCTTATGGCTTATCCACAAAATAAGGATTCCCAACTGTAAATTATGGGAGCAATCCAATTTTGAGATGTTAGAATTGTAAAGCTTACATTAATCCTTTTATGGAGTAATTGAAAGATGAGGATTATTTAAGATGTAACATTTGTACATGTATAATAAAAATACCAAAAAACTTCATTAAACCTGAAGATTTAGAGAAGAGACCTGATTTGACTAATGGATCATATGATATCAGAGCAGGATAAGAATATTAAATGAGACCACCAATGGCACCTGCATATTTTTTTATGATTGACGTGTCATATAAGAGTCAAGAAGTTCTAGGTATTATGGGATAGATCATTAAGGATATGATTTTGGAAGATAAATTTAATTAAAGAACATTGTTTGGATTCATTACATTTGACACTTGTATACATTTGTACAATTTCAATTCTAAATTAAAATAAGTATAAATGTATGTGTTAACAGATGACAATGAAATACCAACACCAGACGATTATTTGTTTAATTTGTAAGATTCTAAAGATATTATTGTGGCCTTTCTTAATCAATTAGATAATCTCTTTCCTAAACCATAATTAAAGAGTACTTAATTTATTCAAGCATTTAATTTGGCCTCAAAGATTATGTAAGATAATGGTGGCAAATTGATTATTTTATCATCTTCACCAATCAAAGAATTGAATAATACTGAGAATTCTAAATCTCCTTAGTATCACTTTTAACCTACTAATAATTTATTAAAATAAATTACTGAAAAAATGCATTTGAACTATATTTGTCCTTCAATCTTTATTATTCCTTGTGGATTCAATAATATTGGTACACTAAATTAATTAGTCAAATTTTTGAATGGTGATATCTTTTTTTATGATGATCCTACTATTTATAGTAAATATTTATATTATTTTAAGCTCAAAAATTTTATTATGATTTTCGTGCAATCTTAGATAGAGATTATACTTGGGAATCAGTTTTCAGAATTCGATCATCAATTGGATGGAAAATCAAAAGTGTCTATGGTAATTATTCAATAAAAAATGCAGATCTACTTAATGTTAATTGTACAGAAGAGTAAGTATATATAATATATATAATAGTCAAAAGGTATTAATGTATGAATTAGAATTGAATTAACCTAGAGCTCCTTATGATAATTTATATATATAAACTGCATTACTTTATACTTCAACCTAAGGAGAAAGAAGAATACGTGTTCATAATTTTTGTATACCAATTAGTAATTCAATAAAAACAATCTACTCTCAAATTGATTAATCATGTTTAGCAATCTCATTGTTTAAAATAGCTCTATCTTAATTAAATATTGCCAAAGATGTTAAAGATTGTATTCAAACCAAAGATTTCTTAATTACTGCAACTAGATCAATATCTAATAATTGTAAGATTTTCAAAGAACCACTTGATTCATTGCATTCTTATATGTTAGGAATCATGAAATCTTAAATACTCAACTATGCTTATGATCAATAATCAGTTCTAACAGATTATATGAATTACTTAAGATCAATTTTTCAATATTTAAATGTTGATGAATTGGTTACATACATTGTACCATAATTATACAATATTTCCAATTTGTAAGAATAGGATTGCATATATGATGACAGTGGGTATTTCATATATCCATAACCAATATCTTTGGTTTTGGAGGAAGTTTCGAATGGAGGATTATTGCTTATGGATTGTGGTTATTGTTTGATATTGTTTATATGCAAGTATTGAATCTTTAATAATAACTAGAATACATGATGAAAATCAAATGGCTGATATTTTTGGGAAATAATATCTTAGTGTTAATTTAATAGAAGACAATCTCTATTCCAATTCTAAAAGCCCTATAAATGATAAACTACATTATTTAATTACTGAATTGAGAAAGTAAATATACAATTTTTATTATTATTATTAGCAATAAGTATACTAAATATGCACCATTGTATATAGTAAAATAAGGATGTAAGAGTTATTGGGAAGAGGTTTTCTTTCAAAACTTAATTTATGATGATTTTAATAAGAATTATAGAATGGGATATAATCAATTTGTACAATATATTGGTTGATTTTATTAATATATTTATATATAATAATAATATACAATGAAGAAAAATAGATTCCAACAACAAAAGGAAGAGTAGAAGAAACAAAATTATTTTGATGAAGAGGAAGATATAGATTTAGAAGATGATGGTCTATTTGGAAAAGAAGTATTAACTGCATGTAATCACTAATCATATATTATCAGCTAAACCTTATGAGGAATACTTCTAAAAGTTTAATGAGTTATATAATAATCACATTGTTAATTTTTCAGCATTTGAAGAAGATTATCAAATCCCATTGACATAACCTGATTATGAAAGCATAATTCAGAGTCATTTCATGGTTTATGAAAAGAACATGGGATTATTTGATTTTATGAAGTCAGACAACAAAGTTTTTGATAAGATTAGTGCATCCTTTGTATTCATTGATAATTAAATCAGATAAATAGAAGATCAAGTATTTTTATAAATATTATTCTATAGTTCTATAAATTCCTTGATAAATTAACTATTTATGGTGAATTGGCAGATCTCCATTTAGAAGAAGAGAGAAAATTGACTGATGGAGAAGCTGAAATCATGATATGTAGAATGCTTGGTTAATTTAAGTAAATATATGACATAATTAAAAAACTCATCAATTACATCACCCATTTAGTTAATCAATTGAATTTACTTTACAATAAAAAAGATCCAATTTCTAAAATAATTAAAATATTTAACTTAAATTTTCCATTAGATACAATAGGAAGAGCATTGTAACTTATTTATGTCTTAGATAATGTTGTAGAATAGAATGATTATTTATAAGAACATTGGAATTATTGTAAGAGAATGTTAAAAATTGTTAAACCAGATCCTACTAAATTCAATTCTAATGCTTAAAATGTTAAACAATTAGAAAAAATTATGATTAGATTAGATAAAACAGTATTATCTGGTTCTTGTCTCTAATCTGTTTTAGCATAGAATTGGGATTAAAATGTTCATGAGAAAACAGGAAAAGAGAAAAATGCCAATATACCTGCAATTAAAAATAATAAAGAATTCTTTAATGTACTCAATACATATCTCAAAGAAAGATATGAATTATTTGATAAAACTTTAGGAACTGCTAAAGAAATGTTTGAAAGAGATTTATTATTACCTACATTTTGTGTTTATGCACTTGTAAGATAATTATATCAAAATGATGAAAATAGAGATCTATGGAAGAATCTTTGGTCTCTATAAAAGAAAGTTCCAATGGTTGATGGACATTCTTAAGTATTATGTTATTTAAGTAAATTCCTTATGGAAGTCACTCCATTAACAAAAAAGAGTCAGACAATGGATCCAAAAGATCCTATAGCCAATTTTAAGAATTATTTATAAAGATTATCAGGTTCATTTTAAAGTTCATTAACTGCTTAATATGTTGCATTCACTACTTGGATAGTTAGAGTTGACTCATTTTCATGTAGTTAAGCTTCATTTAATAATATTGATAAAATTGATAGAGAAAGAGCATAGAAATATATAGAAGAGAGAATGAATTAGAGAGTAATTTTAGTATTGTAAGGATTAACAATTGCATCTTAAACAAGAAATCTATTATAAGCATTATTATTAGGACATTTTGGATTAGAAGAATAATCATTAGATACATCATTATCAAAAGATGTTGTTTTGGCAGTTGAAATGTTAAAAGCAATAGAATATTATTTTGAATAAAAATATGATGTATTCTAACCTGCTTTAATATAAAATCATATAACAAAAAATGGATAAAGAATTATTTAATAAGTATTGGAGAAGATGAAGGCAAATTTAAAAAGTTTTGGTACTGGAGGTGCTGAAATATTGGGAGCATTATAAATATTGAATTCTATTCTAAAGAGTACGCTATCACCTTTGAAATTGTAAACTATGTATTTTTTAATGGATTTTATGGTTGCAAAAGATATATTCACAAATTAAGAAAAAGAAGATTTCAGAAATATTCTTTGGAAACTTGATAAATTAATTTTATTACCTTATTATGTAAGAAAAGTGACAGCAAGTACTTATTTTTATTGGTGTAGAGAATTATTACCTTCATTCTTTTAATATATTTATTAACATCCATCATAAGCAAAAAGATTTTAATTTTTATTGAATGCTGTATCTGATTGTTCAGTTTAATTAAAAGATTGTATGCATTTAGAAAATCCTGATGAATTATTTGATTCTTTTAGATAATATGTTGTTAAAGAATTTTATGCTTAATATTTATAACCATTGGCTAGAGATATTGAAGATTATTTAAGAATTTAAGTACATACAGTATTAATTGAAAAAATAACAGCATTAAATCCATTTAAATAATAAGTGAAAGATTTAAAAAGATTATTAGATATTGATTATGTATTAATATTTGATTCAATTGTCAATTTGAGAACTGAAATAAATCAAATATTAAATGAAACATTCTATAATATTAATGTACTCAATATGTATGATCAAGAAACATATGAATAAATGAGAAGTTTAGCTAATTCTAAATTTGGATTAAATTTAATTAATGTTTATTTACCAACTTAAACAGTAGATTAAGGAAATTTTGATGTACTCAATGTTCTCAAAAATATTTAATAATTCTTTACTAAATACACATATAATTTGTATTAATAATAATTTGTTTAAGTATATAAATTTAATATAATTAATATAGGTTACATCAGAAAGTAAATAAGTATATTCAATAAGTATTTAATAAATAGCAGATTCAATAAGAACACATGGTATTGGTATATTGAGTACAACTGTTAATAGTGTCTATAAATTCTTATAAAAGTATATTAATTAATGTAAATAATAGAAAAATACAAATGTTTTCATAATTTTTATTTGATGATTTAATACAATCACCTTTAGTAAGAGAAGATAGATTTTTTAGAGAAAAGAAAGATGAATTAGATGGTTAATATCCTTATGATAGAGCAGAAGCATTATATAAGGAAATTAAGAAAATGGGTACATTTGATGATGGATCTAATTATCTTGATAAATTCAGAACTTTAATAACATAAATAGGAAATTCATTAGCATTTGTTAGATTATTAAGATCAGCAGCTTTACATGTTAATTCAAAATGTTTAGAATATATTCCAAGTTAATACAATCCTACTTAATTAGAATCACTTACAAGAGAAGCTGGATTTAGTGGTAATTATATTAATATGATATTTAATAATAGATGCAACAGTTAGTACAGCAAAAGAATTAGAAGAGATATTTACATTATATAAAAGTAGTTTTTCAGATAAAATTGATTATATAAATTTATTGTTGAAGGCATTTTCAAGTATCAATACACCAGAAAATGAACATTTGTCTCTATTTTATTTGATTGTACCTACATTGACTTTGAATTTCATTGAAAAAATGTTAATTTCAAAAGATCAAATAGGTAAAAAGAATTCAACTACTGAAGTATTTATTAGTGTAAATATCTATTTATAATAATATAGGATGATGGTTTTACTTTAGGAATTCAATTTTTCTTAACTTTATTAGATTAAAAAGCATAATTTGATTCTCTTCATTGGAGAAAAGAAATAAAAAATAAATTTACTCTTGATATGAAATCAGCTAAAACTTTAGCTACAACAAAACCCAATTAATCATAAAGAGCAACAGACGAAGTAATTAATATTTAAATATAATTTATAGATTAATATGTAAAAAGAATTATCATTACGTAAATTAAATATGTAATATGATGAATTCTAAATGTTCTTCTATGCTTTTAATTCATGTAAAATTCTATTTCTTGGAGAATGATTAACCAAAATTTAAATAATAATAATATATTTATATTATGAATTAATCTTAATATGGAGCTTTTGGTATGAGTGGTAATAATTTCAATCAAACTGGTGGTAAACCACCTACCAATAATTATAATTTTGAAAATGTCAGAGTAAAAAATCATTCATATCAGTTTAGGCATAATAACCAGCACCAGGTGGACCATAGCCATCTAGAGGAAAACCTTTGGGAACAGCAGCTAGATAACCATAAGCAGAAGCAAGACCTATGACATCTAATAGGAAAGCTAATTTTGGTTAAAAAAAGGATCCATTCAATTCTACACAAAATCAAATTAATTTGAATAAACCTAAACTTGAAACTAATCCTGAAGAATAATTTAAAGCAATCGAAAAAGAAATCAATACATTAATAGAATAGAGTGCTATGGCTAAATTAAGAGGCAATCTATCTGAATGTTTAGAAAAGGCTAAAGAAGCATTTAATAAAGAAAAGAAATTAAGATAATCTAAAGAAGCATAAAATTTAGCAGAATCTATAAATACAGATCTTAGTTATTGTGTAGCTTTAACTTAAGCATGTGCTTTGCATACTAATGGACTACATTCAGATGCTTTAGCAAAATATCAAGAAATAATTAAATGTAAACAATACCCACAAGCAGGAAGATTAAGAGTCAATATGGGTAACATTTATTTTGAATAGAAGAAATATGCTACTGCTATTAAAATGTATAAAATGGCTTTAGATTTAATTCCTGCTACATCTAAAGAAATGAGATTCAAAATCTAAAAAAATATTGGTCATTCACAAGTTAGGTTGGGCAAAGAAAAAATTAAAGAGGCAATCACTACTTATGAATAAATTCTTAAAAACTCACCTGATTTTCCAACTGGATTTAATCTTATGATTTGTTTGTATTTGAGTGGAAATAAGAATAAAATGAAAGATTACTTTGTTACTCTATTAACAATTGATATACCAGGAGAAAGTGAAGAGGAAAATAATGAAAACAAGGGAACTACTATTACAGATAAATTAAGAGAGGATGTTAAAGAAAGAAGAAGAGAAGCAATTTATTATATTGTTACTTCTGCAAAATTAATTGCTCCATTAATTGAAGATGATATCATAATTGGATATGAATGGATTTTAGAATAACTTAAGAATTCAACATTTCCTGAAGCTGAAACAGAAATTGAAATATGTAAGGCTATGGCCTATTTAAAAAAAAAGAATATTGAGAAATCTATTGAAACATTAAAAGGATTTGAAAAAAAAGATAAGTTAATTATGGCTCGTATTGCTACAAACATATCCTTTTTGTATTTTTTGGAGAATGATTATAAATAAGCTGAAAAATATGCTGAAATTGCTATCACATATGATAGATATAATGCAAAGGCTTTAGTAAACAGAGGAAATTGTTTATATGTGAAAAATGAATTCTTAAGAGCCAAAGAATAATATTTAGAAGCTATAGGTGTTGAAGCAGATTGCATAGAAGCACTTTATAATTTAGCATATGTAAATAGAAAATTAAATATGTTTGTTGAATCTTTGTAAGCATTAGATAAATTATAAACTATTGTATGTATTCCTGAAGTTTTATTTTAAATGGCTACATTGTATGAAATGACTGGAAATTCAAAATAAGCAATGAAATGGTATTTAGAATTATTGAATAAAGTACCAAATGATCCAAATATTCTAGCCAGATTAGGATCATTATTTGCAAGAGTAAATAATATTATAAAATTTATAGGAAGATGATGAGCCTTAAGCATTACATTATTTTTAAGAATCATATAGAATTTTACCAACAAATATAGATACAATATCATGGTTGGGAGTTTATTATGTGAAATAGGAAATGTATGAAAAGGCAAGTGTATATTTTGAAAGAGCAGCACAAGTATAGACAAGAGATGAAAAATGGAAATTAATGGTAGCTAGTTGTTATAGAAGAATGGGACATTTTTAAAAGGCATTAGGAAATTATTTGAAAATCTATTCTGATTATCCTGATAATATTGAATGTATTAAAAAGTATTAAATACTTTAGGTCTTCGATTTTTAGTTCAATTATGTAGAGAAATGGGATTACCATATGAAGAATATGCAGGATAATTAAGAAAATTGGAAAGAGAAATGGAAATGATGGAAGGATATTAGGGTCAAGATATAAATTTAATAAATAATGAAGATGAATAAGTTCGATTACCTTAAGGAGATGATAATCCTGTTAGTTTCACTAATAATACAAGGTATTTATAATTTTATTATAATAATAGGAGAGGCAATAAATAACCACCTCCTAAAACGAATATAAGATAAAATTTAGATGATGAATAATTTTAAGATGGGGTAGAGGACAACTTTTTACCTTGATATAATATAAAATTTAAATATATTTGATAAATTTGTTTTGTTTTTTATGTAAAAAATCAACAACCATCAGGTCTTATGTATTCAGGAGGAATACTTGGACATCTTTCATTCATATTTTCATATGGTTCAACTGTATTATACCATTCTAATTCAATTCTGTGAGTTCCCATTAATTAACAATAAGGAAGATCTGGATCATTCTTTTTGCATTTTTCTGGAACTACATAATTAGAATCAAAGAATTTCAATTGATAAATATCTTTTGGTGTAAACCTAAATTAATTATATGATTATTACTCAAGTGCCTCAATATGGAAGGGTTGGAATAATCCAGCAGCTTTGTACATGGCAGTTACAAAGGCAGCACATGCTTGACTTGGACCATCACTATATACCCATTCATCTTTTTCAACCATAGCATATAAATCACCCTAAAATATATATATATATAGTTTTTTCTACCAATTCTATTCCTTATTTTGCAGCTTCTATTGCAATTTCTGATACTGATAAACCTTCTGTGCCTAATCTTTTATTTAAGGCTTCTCCTACTAAAGAAGTGATTGGTCCAGGTGCTATTTTTTCAATGAAAGAGAACAAATAAGTGGCAAATTCAGCACTTAATGCTTTTGGATAATTATCTTTTGGTGTATCAATCCAACCAAATAAAAATGTATGATATCCATATGGTTATCCTTCCATTTTTTTCCAATATTCCATAGCTGCTTCTTAATTCCATTATGCTCTTTTTTCTGGACTCAATGGTAAAACAGCAACATTAAATCCAGCATTTTTAGCATATACTTTCCAATCTTCCCATTTAGTTTTTTGTATTCTTTTTGTTGGCCAATACCAAGCATCTTATGATTCAATTACATATTTTTCACCATCAATTTCAAATATCATAGCACTATGTCCAATTCTACCTCCAGTTCCCCATTCTATAATTTAATCTAATCCATCAAATCTAGTGACTGCTAGAAAATCTCCATTATTTACTTCATCTGCCTTTAAATCAACAACAACATCAGGTCTTTCTTACCATCTATAACCAGTTGCTCTTTCTATTAATTCTATATTTGATCTTACCATCCAATCAGGAGGATGACTAATATTTTTATATAATTGTACCTTCCAAATATTGGACCTAAATAAGGATTACTAGAAAATCCACCAAAGAATAATTCTAATGTCATTAGAAGATCACCAAACCAATTTTCTAAATAATCACAAGTTCTAAATATATATGCACCAGAATATTTGAAAGCTTCAATTTATTTTTGATTTCTAAAATTAAAATAGACTCTATGTTCTTTTTCTAAAATAATATATATAAATAATATTTACAATCTTTAATATTAACAATGTTGTAATTCAAAGTTGTACCAATCAAATAAAATTCAGAACATTGTTAACTATTTTTATATTTTCCTGGAGTGAATGTAACACAAACTCGACTAAAATAAAAAATATTATATTGAATATACTTTTCTGCTTCATTAGTTTCATATGATACTCTCATAGATTCATAACAATCATCCTCATATTTGATTAATCTAATATTATTTTAACCTCCATTTCCTATTCTTCCAGCATTCTAAAAAAACATTCCAAAAAATTCATGATGATCTGTTTTTCTACAACCAATAACTTATGTCTCATCTATATAGAATAATAAATTATATACTTAATTTCATAAATGTATTCATCATTTTTTCATATTTTAATTTAGGATCTTCCTCATCATACATTGTAATCTCTGTAATAACTTCATTATCAAATTCTTCTTCAATATGAGTACCATGTAATCTATCATATATAGTTTTCTTTCCAAAACAACAAATTAAAAGCAAAGAAAAAATAAGACTATATTTCGTCATTATAATTAATTTATTTAACCACGGTATTTTTTAAGTATTTTTCAATTATTTTTAAATTAATTCAATTTCTAATGTAAACATTACCAATGTTAAAAGCAGTTGTTCCTACTACTTTTGGTGTATTTCTTATAAGTGGATTTGGAGCCTATCTAAGTCACAAGCAAATCATCAATAAACAATTGACAAGTTAATTATCATGCTTGACTGAGAATTTATTTATTCCAGCTCTAATATTTACAAACTTTTTAAAGAGTTTAACACTAGAAACCATTTATATGTATATTCCATGTATAATAATCACTCTACTTTGCTTAATTTTTGGTTATATAGCTGGAATACTTAGTAACAAATATTGGATTAAAGAGAAATCACTGAATTCTGTAATAATATTAGCCTCTGCAAATCCTCATACAACTAATTTACAATTATAACTATGTTATGGTTTAAGTAGTTGGTTTTCATTGATGACTGGTTAACCAGAAAAATAAATAGAGGCAATACTTGTTACAACAGTGATAATTTAAACTGTAGTAGTGACTTCAATTAGGTGGACGATAGGACGTAGTATATTAGAATAACAGGAAAATAGTTAAAATGATTTAGAAATGACAAATTTATCAGTACCATAATAACACTAATTGAATTTACCTCTGTTTATATAATAACCATCTAAAAATGAAAATGATTAATAAAAAAAGACATTTTGGAATGCTCCTTTATGTGCAGCTTTAGTTTCAATAATTTTTATTTGTATTCCAACTGTGTAAAATACATTACTTTAAAACTAAATAATTTATAATGCAATTTTTGTACCTCTTTCAACAATATCAAGAGCTACTTCTCCAATTATTTTATTAATACTTGGAAGTAGTCTATATTAAATATATTTTGCAAATTAAGAGAGAACAGAAAAATATTCAACAATATTATATATAGTATTTAATAGATTACTATTGATGCCAATAATAGGTTTATTAATAGTGATGTTTGTACATAATTAGAAAATAATTGATGATTAATGTTAGTTGTTTATGTTATTTCTAACATTTTGTACTCCACCATCAATTAATATATTATTAATGGCAAAATAATATTTATAATCAGCTGAAGAAATAGTGGCAGTTATTTTATTAAACAGTTATCTGTTATCTATAATAACATTGCCTCTATGGATGATCACATATTTAATGATATTTTTTATATGACTATAATGTTATTAAATATTTAAATTTATTTATTATTGTTTTTGTTTTAATTTTCTTATTTATATAACGAATACTTAATTTCTTTATTTATAATTTTTTATTATTAATTTTCTTAATCCAAAATAAAGTTGCATTGATAAAAATCCTATTTATGAAATAATCTATATTAAATCTTGACTATTATATTCTTTATGATTAAATTACAATAAGCATTTCATATAAATATTCTTATTCTTTGGTATAAGAGTAATAAATTTTTAATAAAAATTAAATACTAAACTATATTATCATTTTATTATCATATATTAAATTAGAAAACTGATATATGAAGTAGTCTATTATTGTTATTCAATAAAGAATTAATATTTTGATAAAAAGATAATTTATAACCAATTTTTGTATATTCTATTATTTAAATCATCTTATTATTATGAGAATCTAATATAATAATAATAAATTAATTTATATTTATATTATATATATATATATATATACATTTTCACCATAGTATTTTATTTAAATCATAAAATCTATGTTCTTCAAAAGAGAGCTGTTCTGTGAGATTATCTTTTATGTATTATCTACTTTTATTTAAAGATAAAATATTCACATCAAAACTATTTAATGATAAACTCTCAATTTATGCTTTCTAAGATGTTGGAGAAGTTGTGATATAGCCTTGATTTCTGAACACAAATCCTGGTGAATAATCTAATTCATTATTAATTGATTAATTTCTTAATTTTAATGGAATTCCTATTTAATGACATCTATTGATCTCATCTCTAGATTTATTTGATCTTATTAATAAATAAAGTCTTGAGATTTCATATAATATATTCATTAATGTTAATTTTTATTCCATTTACTTTGTTATATTATTGTAAAATAAAAGAAATTCTTAGATATCTAATTCTTAATTCTTTAAATACACTTTACAAATTCTACCTCTCCAATTTTTGAATATTTTTATATTTTAAAATTGTGGATAATAAAATGAAATTAATTAATGGATAACCTATTAATGTTATAAATAAGAATTTATTTAAATTATTATGAATCGTGTCATAAATAAAACTTAAATTATAGATCCTATATTAGCTAAAACATCACCTAAATTCGGATATTCAATAATAGTTTTAATTTAATTTCCATTCATCTCAATAAAAAATATAGCATAAGTTTCATATCCAAAAGCTTATTGGCAATAAGATAAAGAATTAGTTTATGGTTGTATTTCTACACTATTAACAAATTCATACTATTAGGCTTATCCAAAAAGAAATGAATTTTTTACTTAATATCGATTTGTCTAAAGATAAGTATTCAATGTATAGCAACTTTCTCTCTCCACTTAAATCAATAATTCTTGGATACTTTATGAAATTGAAGCATCTTTAGAGTCTATTTATTTATAATGTAATTAAATTGAAATCGTATTTAATGGTTAACTAAAAAATTAATCAACCATTTCTTAAGATGCACATTATTCATTTTCTTTTAGTAATTCTTATTGACATTTTACAAAAAATATAAACATTTCAGATGTTGTTCGTATTTATCCTTTAATATTTGTAAATCCTATCCTCATCTCTGGTATTATATAATAATTTCCTTGATAACTTGTTTCGTTGGATAAATTTAGAACATGGGTTTCAACTATTGTATAATTCTAAGTATAACTAATCATAGGTATTAGTATTTTATTCTCAAATGGATCTATTATACTTCTTTAATCTTTCCAGAAATGAAATTTTACAATATCATATTTCAAATCTAACAATTCAAAATCAGATGCATAATTAGATGTAGATATTTTTGGACTTAATTAATATGTATTCCACTGATAGAATTCAAAAATTGTATAGGCCAAGCTTGATGAAAAAAGTAATATTGATATTAAACCTCCTAATACACTTTTATGGATCTGAGAAGTTTAATCAACTTTTTAAAATAGTAATGCCCCAAATACATCCATTTCTTTTATGAATTTTAAGATTTTCATTTGATTTTTTATTTTAAATGCAATAATTTAACATAGATTCTTATTATAGATATAAATACAAATAATAATTGAGAAAGTAGACATTATAAAATTGAGATTTTGTTAATTATATCACTTAAATCATATATTTAGATTTGATTTGATTTTATTGTATTAAATATCATTTATAATGTGACTTAAATTAGTATATTAAATATAATAATTTTATAGAAAATAGAAGAACATCTTAAATAAGATTACAAAAGAAATCAAATAAATTTTCGCTTTTATGAATTATTTGCTTGATGAAAAAGATTATGATAAATTATCTTATTTAAGCATTAAATACTTAATTTTCTATAGATCTAAAATTAACTTGTTTTAGCCTAAATTTTTATATTAAACACTGATAATTACATTAAAAACTAAAAATAATATTATTCAATATTCTTGAATTCTGTTATTATAATTTCAACAGTTTATTAAACTTAAATATCATAACTCCTTTATTCAACAAAACTCTAAACATTATATATTACAGTATTTCAACTTAATAAATAAATTAAAATTTTTTACAAGTTATTTCTAAGATTTTACTAATATAAATCTTAAATTTATTAGATGATTTACTTAAATTCTATAATATTCAAATATCATATTGGAATATAATCAAATTATATTTGTTGATCGAAAAATATAAACTACTTAAAATCCTCCTATAAATATTTAATAATTATATAGATAGTGAATTATCTCATTATTTAGTAGTTGAAATGTGTTTTAAAAAGTATTTTATGAATTTCGAATAAATAGTAGTTGTTGTCAAGCATATGGTTATGATTTATTAATAAAATAATTTTATTTGAGAATACTAATAATTATTTAGAATGATTACAGAAAAGAGTCTAGAATTACCTTGCTCAATAGTTGAACATAAGAGTAATGTTAAAATGGTATGTCTAAATGAATAATGTACAGAATTTAGACTATTTTGTATGAAATGTGTTTAAAATAAACATCATTCAACTCATTTATAAGATTGGATAGATATTCCATAATTTATTGAATAAATAGAAAAATTTGAAACAGATTATGAAAACCTAATGAATGAATTATCTAAATATCTAGATAATATTCTATAGAATTTTTTAAATTTAAAAGAAGGAATAAAAACAAAATATGTATTAAATTAGCAGAGAATCGAAAATACAGGCTTAAATGAAATAAATGATGTTATTAGTTAAATGTTAAAATACAATGAATTTAAAGAAGAGACTATTAAAATAATCTAAGAAAATGGATAAATGTTTAATCAATAAATTATAAATCTCTAAAATAAGTTGATTGTAAAAGAAGAAAAAAATAGGAAATTAAATAAAGAAATAAATAAAATAAATAGTGAATCAAGTGAAAAGATTAGTAGATTAAGTGAAGATAAATATTAAGAAGTAATCTTAAAAGACAGTGGATTGAGTGATAAAATAAGTAGATCAAGTGATAAATTTAGTTAAACAAGCTAAAAAAATAAAAAGGTAGTTAAAAAAAATAGTTTGTCAAAGGAAAAAAGTTATAGATTAGATGATAAAAATAGTTTATCAAGGGATAAAAATATTGTTTCTAATCTTAAAGATATTCAATAATCATTAGAACTTTGTGTTAAGGGTATTTATTTAATTATAAAATTTGGTAGGTCAGAGGTTAACTGAAAAATAAATGTTTAAAGAAGCTATTGAAATGTTTAATTAATCATTAGTTTTAAATCCTAGTAATTCTAAAGCATTTTATCTTAAATGTACATTCATCATAATTTTTAGCATATAGTCTAAGGTTAATAGAAAAATATGATGAAGCTATAGTTTGGGCTGATAAAGTACTTGAAATAGAACCTAATCATATTAAAGGTTTAGATTGTAAAAGTAAGAATTTATTAAGATATTAGTTTATTGTTTATGTAAACTTGGAAAATACAAAGAAGCTTTGGATGTTATAGAAAAAGTATTATATATTAATTCCAATCATTTAAATTCTTTGAATAATAAAGGTAATTGAATATGGTAATTGATAGTAAATTGCTTAAGAGAACTTAGACAATATTATTAATCTATTTAATTGGCAGATGTGGTTTTAAATTTAGATCCCAAAAACATAAATACCTTATTTTGTAAAAGTAATTATAAGTTCAATTTCAATAGTGTATAGTTTAATTATGATTGGTAAATGTTAAGAGGCTTTAGAATGTGCTGAAAATGCTTTGGTTGAAAATCCAAACAATTCCAAGATATTGTATTGTAAAAGTAAAAGTAATAAATAAATAAAAGTTTAAAGTTTATTTGGTCTCTAGAAACATGAAGAAACAATTCAAATGATAGATAAAATTGTAAGTGTAGATTCAAGTCAGATAAATCTTATTTGTGTTAAAGGTAAATCAATTTTAAAATCATAGCAAAAATCTTATTAATACAAAAAAAATCAAATGAAGCATTAAAAATTATAGACAAGGTATTGGTATAAGATTCTAATAACATAGATGCTTTGGATTGCAAAAGTATTATTATTATCCAACTATTTTTTAGCTGAAATTTTATATTCTCTTGGAAAGTATCATAAAGCTATTAAATTAGCTGGTAAAATTTTAACTAAGATTCCTAATCATCTAAATGCTTTAATTTTTAAAAGTATTGTTTAAAATATTATAAGCTATGAGTTTATTTATGCGTAAAAAATATAAAAAAGTAGAAACTTATGCTGACAGAGTATTGAGTATTGACTATAATAATCAAACTGCTTTATTTTATAAGGGTAAAATAATATTAACCTTAAGCAAATAGCTTAAAATAAGAAGGTAATCATAAGGATGCCTTAATTTGTATAAATAAATTGTTAGAGAAGGAACCTAAAAATTTAGAATTGTTATTATTAAAAAGTAAGTTTTCTTATAATATCTAAGCTTAAAGTTTATATTTACTAGATCAATTTCAAGAAGCCATACGCTGGGCTGATTAAGTTTTGGAAATAGATCCTAATAATTTAGATACATTGTATTGTAAAGGTTGAAAATTTAATATCATATTTTAGCTGATAATCTAAGATTGCTTGGGAATTACAAAGATGCAATTGTTTGGTCCGATAAGGTATTGGCTTTAAATCCTGACCATACGAGAAGTTTACATTGTAAAGGTATCTTTAAAATAATATTTATATTTAGCAAGTTGCTTACGATTACTTAGTTAATATGATGAAGCTGCCATTTGGTCAGAGAAAGCTGTTGTAGCCAATCCAAAATCAATTAATATTATACGTTAGAAAGGTACAATCTAAAAATATTTCATAGCTAATTAGTTAAAATTGGTGGGGTAATATTAGTAATCACTAGAGTTAGTAGAAAAAGCCTTGTTAATAGAGCCAAAACATATAAATACATTAGATTGCAAACGTTTTAAATTATTTTATATTAGTTTAATGCATATATTGGCTTGGAAAAATTGATGATTCAATTGCACTATCTGATTAGATTTTAGAATTAGATCCAAATAATCTAAATTCCTTATGTTGTAAAGGTGAATGAAATTTAAATATTTTTAGCTGATTGTTTAAGATAATTAAAAAGGTATTAAGATGCTTTGTTATGTTGTAATAAAATATTGGATATAAATCCAAATCATATAGATATTTTAAGTTGCAAAGGTATACTTCATCATTTAACATAAGCACAATGTTTATATAAACTTAAAGATTACAATGAGGCATTAGATTATATTAATAAAGTATTAGCATTAGATCCAAATAATGAGTAAGTTATTAGTTGTAGAGGTATATATAACATTATATTCTAAGTTAATGTATTATTAGAAATGGGTTAACATGTAGAAGCATCTAAGTAAGCTGATAAGGTTTTAGAAATTAATTTTTAGAACAAAGATATACTAATTTGTAAAAGTATCCAAATTTATAATAAATTATAAGCGTAGTGTTTACATTTATAAAATAAAAATAAAGAGACTCTTATTTGTGCTGATTTGGTTCTAGAAATTGATCCAAATCATGTTCCTACTTTATATATTAAAGGTAATTCAATTATATTAATTTAGCAAATACCTTATTTAAACTTGGTCGTTTTAATGAAGCTCTAGAATAGACTGATGCACTTTTAAAAGTTAATCCAGATCATGCTGAGACTATTCTTTGTAAATGTACTCTATTGTTATATTTAGCCAATTGTTTAAGATTATTAGGACAATATTCTGATGCACTCATCTATATAGATAAATATTTAATAATTGATCCTAATAATTTAACTGTTATTGAATAAAAAGGTATAAAATAATTGATAATTTAATTTAGCTTAACTCTTACATTCTACAGAAAAACATGAAGAATCAAATATTTGGGTTGAAAAAGTTCTTGAATAAGATCCAAATAACATTAATATTTTAAACTATAAAGGTAATTTAATTATTAATTCTTAGCTGATAATTTAAGAGCTTTGGGAAAATATAAAGAATCGATAGTAATAGCTGAAAAGATTTTGGCCTATGATTCTAAATCAGTAAATGCTCTATTTTGTAAAGGTAGAATTTGATGAATATTAATAGCTGATTGTTTAAGGGCTTAGGGTTAGTTTATTTTAGCTGAACAATGGGTTGACTTTGCATTAAAGCATGATTCAAAACATGTCAATTCTTTAGCTTGCAAAGGTAAGAAGTTATCATAATTAGGTGAAATATTAAGAATGCTTAAACAATATGATTAAGCCTTGTTATAATTTAATAATGCTTTGAGTATTAATCCTAATAATTATATTTCACTTATATAAAAAGGTATTCATATATATAAATATATTAAGGTGCTTGCCTACAAGAAACAAAAAAGTATTCAGAGGCATTATCAATTTTTGATAAAGCATTAAAAATTAAGCCTAATGATGAATGGGTTCAAACAAGAAAAAGTATTTTTATAATATTTATATATAGAATAATGTGAGGATGTATTTAAGAAACCAAATTCTGTAAAATCAAAATGAA